GCCAGCTGCCACGCGCAACATGCAACATCCTTGTGCTGGCTTGACTCATAATGCGCCACAAGGAAGGGTATCACAGGTGCATATACTATTCGGTGTGGTTTACCTGAAAGGTTGAAACCATAATTAATATTAAAAATTTCTGACATTTCCCTTTTTAAACGATTTAAAATGTTATTAGTCTCAACATGGTGTTTAAAGTTAGTTTGTAATATGAAATATGAGTGAATTGATTGATTTTAAAACATTGAAAGCTAAAAATACTTTCGAAAACTGAAAAAATAATAATAATAATAACAATACCCCCAAATACTACTAGTATTCCAGCTTCAACTACTTTAATTTACAAATGGATATATTCAGCTTAATGTGCTCTGACTCCTAGGGTTGGGGGTTGATTTTGATTGAGAACAAAGAGCTTTCACTTTCTGAAGAATCTAATCCGTTTTGGCATTAGTTCACCGCTGGCTATACTTTTGTTATTTTTTTTTGTTCTAAGCAGTTGGCTCTGTTCGTGGCTAAAGTACGTATCTGGGTCAGTTGTTTGTTTGGTCGTTTGCTCGGCTTGCATAAGCCCGTCCGGCGGCAGGGAAAACTGCATCCCCAACCCCCATGAACAGCCTCATACCCCGTTTTGGTTAGCTGCTGCAAATGAGGAAGCCTAAAATAGCAGCAGGCCAAACGCGTTACGTGTTGGCGTTGCACTGCACAAACTTGCAGCAGCAGCAGCAGCAGCAATCGATTGAGGGGTCTGGTTACCAACATTTTCCTTCTCTGCTCGCAGTTTTGAGCCGTTTGTCGCGTTGATAAGAACGTCGTGGAAAGCGAAAGTCACACACACACCGAGTTACTAACCAAATAGCACCAATAACCACCAGCTGATTGGGAGAATTCTTATATTAAAATCATTTCTCTTAAACAGTAAATGAAGAAATAAAAAACAAAAACGATTGATTGTTTCTCCACCCCCGCAAAATTTAAACCACAAAAATTACAAAATTTTAAGACCTCTTTACAGTATAGTTGAAAAGAAGAGACATGGTATTTCAATTCGTATTCAGACCCCATCGGAAAAGGAATAAGCATACGAATATTCACAAATATTCGATGCATGGAAGCAAGCCAAATGGAATCGAGTTTATATGGTTGCCCGATTTTTCGGGCAGAAGTATCATGGTGCTTACTATCAGGACGGATGCATTTAGTTTGACTTTCACTTAAATCTAAAAACTATGAAAAAAAAAAACAGATTTATTCCATGTGAATATTTTTTATCTGAACTGTAAACAGGAACTACATCGAATTTAACCCGAAAAATATTGAAAACCTAGCAACAATCGCTTGTTTTTCGTCCCCTTTCAACTTATCCAATATCTTCCAAAAAATTCCCAAAATTTAAACCACATTTTTTAAGTGTATACAAAAAGAGCTAGTTGACCGAAGAAGAGGAGCAAATTTAGCCAAAATGCAGCGTCCCTCGTCGAATATCTCCAGCAACATCATGAACCGCATGTCCGTCTTCGAAAGTAAGTCAAGAAGTCGAGTCCCGGTGAATAATTCATTTGTTTAGTTATTCGCTCATTCACACATTCGTTTACTTATTCATTGCTCTATCATACAGCCTTCTTGTTTGTAGGCAGACAAAAGTCAGTGAAATCGTGGTTATTTCTTTTTGTTTTTTGGCTTTCCACCGACCTGGCTTTCAGCGATTGTGTAAAATGATTAAGTACGGGTAAAAGTGTAAAAAATTCGGCCAGCAACATATCACATGCCATCACATAACATGGACTGATAAGGTTGAAAAGACTCAAAGGTTTGTTCGGGGCTTAATGTTGATTGGGATGTATTTACATGAAAAGGCCGAGAGATTCGTTAGAGAAACTTAAACCTATCTTGAAAGTAAGGAAAACCTAAGTTAAAAACTGTGAAAAATTCCTGTGATGCATTTAAAAGGATTGCAATCTTCAAAATGACATTTATTTGTATTTATTTCTTACTTACCCACATTTGTTATGTGATTTCGAACTTTTTGATGTAAACTAAAATTATTAAACCATATTATAAAAGAGATTCATCCACTAAACCATGAAGTAAATCACTTAGATAATTGAAGTTATGTCGAACTTAAGTACAACTGGATTTATTATAAAAACTCGTTCAATTACTAAAACCTGTATTCGGTTTAAAGAGAGAAATTGAAATTGGAACCCTACTAATGCTTCAATTTCCTTTTTAATAAAATTATAAAATTGTCAAAGGTATAATCATGATATTCAACTCTAACCTGCCTCTTGTGAACAAATATTTTTTGTGTTTTGAGCTAGTTAACCCCGCCATGACAATGGTTTGCATTTAACTGTGCTGTCATGGCTTGTTGGTCCCTTAACCGGTTGCATGGATAGGCTGGAAAACTTTCTTTTGGCGACCGCAGACCCCAAACGAGCCGAGCACTTGATAATAATTCAGAGCTCTTCTACGGGACATCTACTATATCATAAATTGTGTACACACAATGCACTCCAATGTTGTCTTGATTTACGGGCCTTAGACTGGGTCGCCTCCGGTCATTCCGAGTGAAAACAAATTGCATATAATTAGCCCGGTCGGAGTGGGCTGTCTTGGGCTGGGTCTGTGACTGGGACTGGGACTGGGTCTGTGCTCCCTTATGGAGTCGCCTCCATTTATTTCATTTGCGTTAATTTCACACCCTTACCCCTCGACAACCCCGACTCTCTACAAACCCAAAACACATGTGCAGCGCTCATTAACCCACATGGCCTGGCAGCGAGTCGGCAAAAGGGTGTTAAGGCGGGGGTCTGGCCAGTCGAACCACTCGATTGCGCAAGTGAATACTTGTTGGGGCGACGATGGACACCACACCGTAAGTGAAGTGAAGCCTTGTCTGGAATGGATGGCATATACCCAGGGTATTCTACTTGAAAAAGAAGTTTGATTTCCTTATATAAAAAGTTAAATAAGTATTAATTACAAAGGATGCAAGGGATGTATCTCACTTGTTCACTTTTAATAAGAATCATACTTTCATAATAAAGTTAGGTATAATATTATTCTCCCAAGGGTATTTTAAACTTCCACTCCAATCAGTCTCTCCCTTAGGATTTCCTCCATTTCCCTTCATGGTTGCATTGGGTCAATCCAAGCTAAACTTTTTGAAAAATCGCCCGAGACATCGCTGAAAATGTTAATGCAAATTACGAGTGCAGGAGCGTCGCGGCGGCGAATGCAAATTTTCATTTGAAATCGAAGAAGTTAAATCAATCAATGCGGATTTGCATGCGATTTCCGATTGTGCCACATATGGGACATGGGACATGGCACATCTGATGATTAGCATAATGCAGCCAGTGGCTGATAATAAAGCTGGTTTCCTCACTATTGCCGCGGGCCTACAAAAATGTTAAAGGTTTCGATGCTTTTCATGGCCATTAGAGTCGGCCAAACAAGAGGTTTCTGGTTTGGATGCCTTTTCCATTGAATCAACAACCATAATTTGCTGGAATTGTTTGAAATGACTCTGATGAAATTGATTGATTGATTGTCGACCGCGAACTCTGAGCGGAGATGGCAATTAAGGTTGTTTAACCCTCTTGAAGAAGAAGAAACGTTCAGACTCGTGTGAACTACATAGTTTGCCAATGATTTCCTTTGCTTACATATTAATGGTTTTATGCATCTCAAAACCCTTTTTGAGATAAATAATTCAATTCTGTTCCACTTTTCTTTTAGTTTACTGACTCATTGCTTGCATTTACTTAACATTTCTTACCTTAACGTCCCACTTTGTGAGGTACAAGTATATTTATTCGTAAAAGTTTGCTTAAATTCTGCCCACTCAAGTTTTTTAATACATTTTCAGCCGCTGGAAAATCAATGACCTCGTTTGTCAGACTTCATTATGGCCCTTAAATTTATTTAAGGTTCTTCAACCTATTAAACCTTTAATTAAAGTTTATTTTTGTATGACAAATATTGAAACTAAGTGAATTAGCTTTTGTTTTGAACTAATTTTAAAAGCAAGTTTCATTTGATAAATTATATCTAATCTATAAAAATTATCCCCCTTTTTGATGTAGATTATATGTTGGCAATATTCCCTAATGCATCCTCCTACCAAACTATAATTTCTGCCACAATCTGTACCCACTGAACTCTATGAAGCCATTTCAGCAATGTCATTGCCCTTTCAGCGCTATTTCTTTTTTATTTATTTCTGCTCTGTCCCTTATCATCGCCTATTAATCTAGTTTAGGTTTTGGGCTTCGAGCGACTAACTAGTCCGCTGCAAGATGTGGGTTAATATGATGGGTGAACAAAAGAAGTTCGCTGGTGACGGTTCAGTAAAAAATTTACAAAAAGAGCAGCAGCGCCTGAAGAAACCAGAACAAGAAAAAAAAAGAAAAGAAAAAAACTTTACCGCTGACTTGAATCGAGTTCTTTTCTGCCTCTCATAATTTTTTTTACGGTTTTACAGCTGTTGTTGTTTGTTCTTGTTTTTTTGTAATAACAAATTGACAATGACATGAATGAGAAGAAATATTTAACCTTAATAAACGACCAAGACAACAACGTCAAAGCTTTAGACGTCTTTTGTTGGGTTTTCTTGGTGCTCTCGCGATGGTCGCCGTCGTCGTCGGTGTGTGCATTGTTGGGTGGTTAAGGCCCGAACTGATTTGTGAGGGGAAGGCCAAGTGCCAATTAAACTTTGGCACAGTCAACCGAAGGGGACATCCAGCAGAGATACACCGGAAGAAAGAAAATTTGCATAATGTTAGCCTAATCCAGATCAATCTCTTATATCTTGTGATTAAAATCACACTCTTAAACACCAGTTGAGGGTAATATTCATGCATAATCTTATTAGGTTTCCTTTTTTCTCAAGCAATATACATATCTTAAGATCGATCGTTAATTTTGTAACAGTGTAGTGGCAAAGAATGCGAATCCATTCACTTATCGCTGAACTCTTCGCATCTATCTTTCAGATACAGCATTCAGGCAGAGTCAGGCGGAGGTTGAGAACGCGACCGGAACGATGATGTCCATGACCAGCTCCCCACCGGCCACGCCCACCGGGGTTCAGACGGACCAAGATGGCCTCATTCTGCCCAAGAAGCTCATTAATCCCTGCATGGAAAATACCGATCGCAAGGAGTTGCATCGGGAGCTCAAGTTCAATGCCAGAATGTGAGTCGTATTATTATTTTTGTTCTTTAAAGACCGAATCTAATTAAAAATTTGCTTTTATTTCAGTGGCAAAAGCGTGCTTAACCAAAAGTCGGAACTGCAACGGGCCTACGACAAGCAGAAGGAGCGACACGCGGCCGCCGAGCAGCACTCACCGGATGCGGAAATTGTTGGCGGAATTCCGGGCCTAAAAGGAGAGCTCGGTCGTGTGATTATGGAGCGGGCGCAAAAGCACGAGGCGGCGGCCCAGAAGCAGGATCAGGAGGATGCCGAGGAGCGGCAGTACGTGAATCCCGAGTATCTGAACGTGCGGGCCAAGCTCCGCACGGCGCACGCCAACAATTAAGGAGCCACCGCTCCTCGGATACCTGGATGGATGATGCCCAGTCCTCAGCTTGATTAATGATTAATGTTTAATTTTATTAAGGAGACCTAAAACCAAATTGTGTGCGTTGACGGAGCTATATGTGTTTTATGTGTTAATAACTCGTGAGCGGTTTTCATTTTGATATTATGCAAAACTAGTTGGTTATTATAGTTTAACGTTTAACTTTTAGACTAAGCCATTTACCTGTTTAGTTCGTTAGCTCTAGTTACTAATCTAAGGTACAGTTTATTTGCGCTAATTTTCGTTGTGTATAAAACCGTGTGTATAAAGTTTTAGTTTCTAGACGGCGGACCCCGTTCTTCCACAAACAAAGAGAAACGAAACATTAAGGAATATTATGAATCTAGTGTAGTTATCTATATGTATATCCCTAAAATAGAGTGACCGAGGTAATGCTGTAAACAGGGCAATGTGTTAGAGAGTAAGACAGAGAGACAGACAGACAGAACTTGGAGGGAAGATATTGGATCTATATATATATATATTGAACAACTATTTTATGTCAAAGCAAAGAAATTTGAACAGATTACAAAACTATATACAACATATATCTATATACAAATTTAGTTTCTGGAATTAATAAATTTTATTGTAGACAAAGAGTTATCAAAACCGAATAAATACTTTTTATTTCATTTTAGTTTATTTTTATATCTATAGCGTTATTTAAACGTTTCGAATGTGTTAAAGTGCAATGTGTTAAGGAATCAGTCTTCATCGTTGGCCTCTTCTTTGGCCCTCTCCAAGGCCTCTTGCTTGGCCAGTGCCTTGGCCTGTGCTTTTGCCTCCTTTTTGGCTTTAATTAAGTTCAGCTTCTCCTGCTTCTTGGCCTCCTTGGCTTCTGCCTTCTGTCTAGCCAATACTCTGGATGGTCTCTTAGAGGGCCGAGCCTGCAATGATCAAATTTGTTATTAGAATTCGGCCCATTTTGTTTGTCTTTTTAAATTGCAACTCACTGCTGACAAACGGGCCCGTTCTCTCTCCTCCTCCATGGCTATCTTATCGCGAACCTCTTTGATCTTCCTGTGGAACATCTCGACCATATCCATTTGCGCCTTAAGGTCCTCCTTGCACTTGGTCACTCGATTGGTGGTGGCCTGCAGCATATTCTCTGCGGCTTCCATGTCCTCGTCAAAGGTCTCCTGCACTGTATTAATGCGGGTCTTGTACTGTTCGATCAACGTCACATACTTCACTTGGCAGCTCATCCAAACCTTCTCATCCTTGGCCTTCAGCTCGGCCAGTTTTTCCAGCTCATCGGTAAGTACCTAAAAGTAAGAAATAAGAAAATATGTTCAGCAGATCGCATTTCCAGCTATGTGAGTTAAGCATACAAACCTTACAGCGAAGGAAATCTTTATGTTGTCCCTGCTCCACATTATCATAGGCCCAATTAACCTTGTAGCGGGTCTCTATGGGGCTCAGATCTATAAAATAATTTAAATATAAATATATAGAATTATTATACTCGGTAGTAAAATAAGGAAAGCACTTACAATCTATCTGATTTCGCTCCTTTTTAAGGGAACGCTGTTTGGCCACTAATTGGGGATTTTGGATACCAATGATTTTCTTCTTGGAATTCTCTTCCCTTAAGGCATCGTGTTGGGCCATTATGGTTTCATAGGGAACACCAATTACCTTATCTATGTCCACTTGGGTGTCCCTGAATAAATTTATTGCACAAATAATATGAATTAGCATACTTTTAGGTATATTTGTAAGTGATTTCACTTTCGAGTTTAGATTAATTAAGAAGGCATATTCCCTATATCTATGAGCACTCACCGAAGAAGATCCATGAATGCATTTTCCTCGCAGATATCTCTATCCTCGACGATATCATTCAGCAGGGCCTGTACCAGATTGATAAGTTCACCCAAATCTACATAAAACTTGAGATCATCGAGCGTAGCATCCGATTTATTCTTCTCCAAAATGTCCACATAAACGGTGGTCATCTGCTGTTCGAAGCGCTTCAAGTTGTTCTTATAGGACCACACAAAGATGGTGTCATTGGGATTTGTACCCGCCGGTGGGAACTCCCGCATAACATTTAGGATCTCTTGGAGCTGCAGCAGCTGATAGATGATGCACACGTTCCGGAAGTCGGAAATAAGGTTGCCAAACCGCACTTGGAACTTCTCTTTCATCAATAGGGCGGAGTCTCGCTGCTTCTCAGTGAGAATCGACGCCCGTACAGTGCTGCGACCCTCCGTACCTCTTGAACGCGGAGCAACGTTGGTCTTGTACATCTTGGCCCGGAATGCCGTTTCCGAATCCACTTCAGAGCTACTTGATTTCACCTTGTCTAAAGAGCTATGCACCTCCACCTTCTTCTCCAGGACGTAGGGAGAAAGCAGCAGCTTGATAAACTCATCATAGCACATCTCATCCGGTTTCGGCGGCAGCGGGAAGAGGCTGTTGATCTTCTCTATATACTCAGGCAGGGTATAAATCTTGGGTTGCATTTTTGGTCCTCTTAGGACTCCCAAACTAATTTGACTTCCCTTTAAATGTGAGGATTCCTTAAATGACTTCATGTTTATATGTGTTTCTTCTGTGACAAATTATGGACCAATTTAAAAGTATGAGATTGCAATACTGACACTTGTATGTAATGTTGCTATGGTTCTGCCAAGAAAACAACAAAGAAATACAAATAATATTATAACAAACTTGTACCTACATTAATGTCATTGTTTTCTCGCTAACAAGTTTATAATTTAAGGATAAACCTTCATGGTATCCTTTTAGCATTACCAAAACTTCATCAAAGTTAATACAAAGTTAATACAATCAAAATCATCTCTTAACGTGCGCTAGATTTCTTTCTGTATAGCTTTGTTATTATTGTTTATTTAATAGAGTAAACAAACACAAAACGGGTCTACTCTATTATATCTTAATTAAAGGGTGTGCAAGTCACAAGGCGACTAATGCAAATATGTATGTAAATGTTTACACAAAATGCATGTACTCCACAACTCCCACGCTGGCGCACACTCGTTCACTCCACCGCTCATGTGGTGGAGCTCCCACAGTCGCACACTTCCACTCGCACCAGTGGGGCTTGCAGAGGCTCTCTCACTTACTGGCTCTCCCGCTATTGGAGCTGCCTCTCTCCCCCACTGGAGCCCACTGGAAGCTCCCTCTCCCGCTCTTCGACTCTGTCTCGGCTATGTGTAGTAGTAGTAGTAGTAGGCACCGCACATATTCGCTGTTTGCTTTGGGGCTGCTCTGGCTTGCTCGCTTTCTTGCTGGCCAACTCTGGCCGCCTGTTCCAATGTATCGCGTAGAGGGACCTGCCTCAATGTTGCGCGTCGATTTTAGGGAGCCTACACCATAAAAATCGGTGACGCTCCTCCACTTTTTTTGCGCCCTCTCCGTCTATGGCTCGGCCCCTACTTTCCGTCTTTTGCTGTGGAGTTGGGTGGTGTCTGAAGGCGCCTGCGCGGAGTGCGGTGGGATTTTCTTGGCTTCGCTTTGCAGCTTTGTCGCTCGCTCGGTCGCCATTTGCGATTCCCGCTGCTCTGTCGCCGAATATGAAGCAAGCAGAATGAGCTGCAAGTAGGATTGGAGATGAGATGTTTTATTTTCAGCTTTCCGCTGCTTACTGTTGTCGTTGGAGTCGGATGCTGCTGCTTAGATGATGCTAGCGACTTGACCTTGACACTTGAATTTAACCCACTATGGTTTATGTAAAAAGAGGTGGTCTAGATGCCACTTTTAATGCCATATTCTGACAGGTTTGTACATATTTAAACATTTTTTCTACACCATAAATAAATTTAGAAAATTAAATTTAAATTAAATTTCATTATCGTACTAAGATATGTACTACCAAAGTGTTATTTATAGGGTTAAATAGCTTGGTGCAGCTCCGTCGAGATCGAGGGCAGTGGCCACTTGACGCAGCTCCAGCTGCTTTCATCGCAGTTACATGGGCACCGTTACTCGCCGCCCGCCTATCTTTTTCTCTGTGTCTCTCCTGCCTCCACTTCCGCCCTCTGGCTCTCTGGCTGTATTTTAGCTGCTGTCTGCTGTCATCAATTGCTGATTGCTTGTTCGCCAAACCGCAGTTTAGCGCTGGCAATGCCGGCGGCCGCGGCGTAACGGTAAGTAACGACGTCGCTACCAGCGGCCCGACACAACGACTACGATAACGATAACATCGTGGCGGCCCCATCTGATAGACAGCTGTCTCCCGGTTACGTCAGTCAAAATGACGCATCGTGTTTTGGTAACAGGAAAGCATGAATTGAAAACCAAAAACGCAGACAATATACAGACGCCCCCCTTGCCGCCGCTGGAACTTGCAAGAAAATCACCACAAGGAAACAGAACAAAGCCAAAGTAAAAAGAAAAAACAAAAAAACACACACACGACGCAGCGACTCGGCGCAGTCGGCGTCACGACAACGAAAAAATCCACCCTCGCATCACGCGCCACAGAACTTTGTTGGTTTTCTTTCCATCCTTCGCTTCCTCTTTTCAATTAGGCAGAGTGCACTGTCTAGGCAAATTCTGCCTCTTAGGGGGTGGGAGCGAGGTGAAGCATTATGGGGGGGCAGGGAAAAGTGCAGAATGCTATTTGGCGCCCTAAACAACAAATCACAAACTGCAACAACATACAGCAGCAACATCTATATGTACATACATAAACAGCTGCAGCATTATAGGAAACATCAGTGTTGAAAGTTTAAAAAAGCTAATAATAATTTTACTAGAAGCAACTAAAATATTTCCATTTATTGAATTTGTGGAGATATTAGATAAATTTATAATCTTCTAAATACCAAACAAAAATTACTTTAAATAAATTATCTCGTATTTCAGTTCATAATAAAATTTATTTATTTATTTGTAATTAATACAAAAAATTACTCATACGCAATGTAGGCCTATACAATATATTGGTCAATATTAAGTATACGCAATATATACATATCAGGGATTTGCTTTCCTAGCAACTATACATATACATATGTATATATTTTATTCTTTTAATAAACTTAATAAACATTGGCAGTAAAAAGCCTAAGCGAGCACCACTGATGCTAACGCCAACGCGAACGGTTCTTGCCGCCGCTTTCACACAGCAACAAAAAAAAAATACACTAAAAATGGAGGACTGGGTGAGTGTGCTTTTGCCAGTGCTGAACTCCTGCTGCTTTGCGGACAAAATTTGAGCAGATCCGCTCACAAAAAAACGGCATTATGTACTAAAACTACGAAATAGTGCTGTGATGTCCCAGTCACCATCTCCAGTGGCTCCACAGTTCCAGGGCTCCACGGCTCCATTGCCTCCGGCTAACCAAATGGTGCCCATTCCAATTGGAAATCACACACCGCTCGCATGGGAAAAGTCCCCAACTGGTATTTCGAGCAGGCGCACAGATTTCCCAACTGCTCACTCCTCGCGAAGAGTTCCGATTCTGCTTCGCTTCTCCGATAAGAAGCAATGACACAATCACAATGAGACGAGATAAGCAACAGAGAGTGAGATGGCACCATAGAGGCAGAGAAAGAGGGAGTGAGAGGCGATGAAAGAGCGCTCTGTGGAGTGAAGGAAGAGGGCCATCAAGTGACGAGCGCAATGTCTAATCAGAAAGAGAGTCACTGATCGCGATGATAGCACTGGAATTCCGGTTAGTATTATTGCTAACAATTTTTAAAACTAAATTATTACTGCTCTATAAGAAGGATTTCTTACCTGAAATTTATCATGGCTATAAGCTTTTGTGCAATGTAAATAGTAACACTAGGAATTTGTACAGCTTAAAATAATATTAATGCAGTTGAATATCGATTAATAAAAATAAATTAATTAATTAGATACCTGAGAATATTAGCAATACACATAATCAACAATATAATATGTGAAAATTAAGTATACGCACATTATATTTTATAATATTAACATACAATTTTGTTGTTTATTGTTTTATGTCTTTAATTTACAATCAATAACATTAATAGTTTAATCAAATATTGCATTTTGATTTATTGATAAGCCAATTCCTGTGTCATTAATGACTTTCCAGATGAATCTGTAAAATAGTTTCATCATTTGTATAAATCCAAATATTTTTATGCATTTTTAAATACACATCTTACTCATAAATACATATTTCAAATATAATTTTGAATTTGTTAAATAAATAATCAAATACAAATTCAAATTAATCCAATTCTCTTAATTTTTTTACTGACATTTAATGACTTTCCAAATTCCTCTAAAATTTGGTTTATAAACAATTATCGCTCAACTAACTCTTTTTTTGTAAACTGATAATTGTATTCGCCGATGTGACGGGGACTCTATATAAAGGTTTAGGCTTCGGGCTCCGATTATTCAGTCGTGCGGCAAGCGCAGAGCAGAAAAGTATTCTAAATTCTAGATCTCACGGTAAGAGTGAAAAAGAGAAAATATAGTAAGAGAAACCGATCGCGAGTACTTGAAAAAGCTTTTCATTACCGGACAATCCCCCCGGAAAAACATTTCAGTTCGTTTCCTTCGTCGAAAGAGTTTGATGCGAGAGAACAATTTAATAGTGTCAAGTGCATAATTACTATTTAAAAAATAATAAGAGCCCTTTAGTTAGAGACTGTTGTAAGCCCCAGCTTTTTAAGAGAGGTCCAAAGAGTGTTAGTTTGTTTTTCTATGACATTGAGACCAAGTTGTAATTAGAATCAAAATTTGAGTGTGGGTTTGTTCCATTCCCCCAATAAACAATGCGAAATAAGCATCAAATTGTCAAAAAAGTTGAATGAGCTTCGAATGTCGTGGGCAAGTGATTAGATGTGAGCATATCTAGAAGGTTTGCTTGTCGGAATTTCGCCATAAATCTCGTGGGGGGACTCAAGTGCTGAGATAGCGACCATATATAACCCCTTTGACTTTGGGCGTTTACTGGGACAATGTTGGTCAGATAACCATTACTGTTTACTTGGCGTAAAAAATATTAATTGAATCCCAAACATTTTTCTTGGTCAGAGAACAAGACTTTTCATTCATTCCAAAATATAATATAAAATTGATTGATTTTGCCTATATTTATATATTTTTTATATTAAATATTTGCTTGTTTAAATAGTTTGCATCAAATTTTCTTTGAAAACATTGTCGTTTGAAATTGGTGTATATAATTGATACTTTTTAATTTATAAACAAAGTTTACTAAGCCTATAAACTAATTACAATTACTAATGTATATTTTGCGTCTTTTTTAAATAATTAAATCTTAAATATATTTTCAAATCAATCTGCAAATTCCTGAAATGCCTTTCTTTTTAAAGTTTATTTTTAAAAAAAGGTTGGTTAATATATTTCTAAAAATAACTGAGCTTACTCCTTAATGTCGCGCAACTTCAGTTCTCAAAACGAGTTAAAAGTCTTATACGTCGCGAGGTAGAAGAGAACTCAGTGGGAGAACACAGCTGCTCAACGGCTTGGGAAATATTTCTATATTTTTTGTACAGCAAAGAGATAGAGCGCGGATCATAATGCTAAACAGGTTCATTGGTTTATCAACCACGATCGTGGGTCGCAGCAGTCGCAGCGGCTTTCTGTCCTCGTCGTCGCTCTTAAAAGCCGGGTGCGTATGCCGCTTCTGAGCTCAGTCGCTCGCCAAGCTCGACTTCGATCGCAACAATATTTCTCGAGATGGGATCGATTTCTCGACTTTTGTTCCCACTGATCGTGGCCTTGCTCATAGCTGGTAGTAACGCCGACCTCTTTGGCAGGGGCAGCAGGAATCAGAAGCAGAACCGCACCATGTCCAGTGGCAAGGCTTTCAAGGTCCTGGTTACCCATCCCGAGGTTCCCCAGGAGGGCATCGATATCCTGAAGCAGAACTGCGAGGTCATCCAAGTGCAGAGCGTTCCCGTTGACAGGGCCGAGCTCTTGCGTAAAATCAGTGGAGTCGATGGTGTCCTCTGGGGTGGTCATCAACCCCTCAATGCTGAGGCCTTGGATGCTGCCGGTCCCCAGCTGAAATCCATCTCCACCATGTCGGCAGGCATCGATTATGTGGATGTCCCCGAGCTGAAGAAGCGCAAGATCCCGCTGGGACACACTCCCACCGTTCTTAATACTGCGGTGGCTGACTTGGCTGTGGGCCTCCTCATTGCCGCCGGTCGTCGCTTCCACGAGGGACGCAAGAAGATCGATAAGTGAGTCCTTAATACCTTCCAATTAAAGGGTACTTACTAAAGTCTCTTTCCAGTGACCAGTGGGAGAACTACCATCTGAACTGGCTTTTAGGCCAGGACATTCGTGACTCCACCGTGGGCTTCTACGGCTTCGGAGGCATTGGCCAGGCCATTGCCAAGCGCCTGTCCGGCTTTGACATCGACCGCGTGCTGTACACCACCCGCCGACGCGTGCACAAGGAGATCGAGGAGGAGTTCAACGCCAAGAAGGTGGACTTTGACACTCTGCTGGCGGAGAGTGACTTCATTGTGATCGCCTCCCCCTTGACCAAGGACACTCAGGGAGTGTTCAATGCCACCGCCTTCAACAAGATGAAGGAGACTGCAGTGCTGGTCAACATTGGCCGGGGCAGTAAGTTTGTCTTCGTTTTTATCATTATTTATTTATTTATTATATTATATTATCCACCCCGCAGAAATTGTCAACCAGGATGACCTCTATGAGGCTCTCAAGTCGAACAGAATCTTCTCCGCTGGCCTGGACGTTGTGGATCCAGAGCCCCTGTCGCCCAAGGACAAGCTGCTGACGCTGGACAATGTTGGTAAGTGGGGGGTGGAGACGATCGAAATAAAATTCGGTTTATTGATATCAGTCTAGGAAATGCTCGTATTTCTGGCCTTGTTATCAGTTTCGTGATTCAGTCTTATCTGCTTAGTGGGTTGACATTGTCTAAAAGTATTTTCGGTGAGATTTAACTAAGGTTTTTTGAAGGTTACAAACCATTCTTGCCATGTCTTTTAAAGGTTAAACTTAAAGTTTTATCTTCACCTACAAATTAAGTTTTGTTAAATTCACCACTAACCTTGATTTATCTATGATCTCTTTCAGTTGTCCTGCCCCACATTGGCTCTGCCACGAAGCGAACTCGCGCCGAAATGGCCACCATTGCCGCCCACAATGTGCTCCGCGGACTGGTCGGCGAGCCCATGCTGTCGCCCGCCTACTAGGAATTTCAAATCGGACTTAAATGGAAATACGGGCAACTAGCGGAGTGTGAAATGCATTCTGAGTGGCCTTGGCATTATTGTAGATGTGAAAATAAAAAATTATAATTAAAAATAATCACGTACAAAGCTAGTACAAATTGCCTTATTTAAATATGAAAAAGGTTGTTTCGAGAGAATGGAAATTAAGAGTTCTTATACGAGTTGGTTTGTATGTACTTGAATATAGTAGAATTTTAATTGTTATTAAGAAAGTAGTGGCAAGAAATCAGGAAATATATAATTATTCAATTAACCAATATTTTATTAGGCTAAGATCTTTTTTTAAAAACTTTCTATATGCGCTATTGAATGCCTTTCACTTTAAAGTAATTTTTTAATTTAAATAAGAATTATATTATAGAAGATATAACAGTTTTTTCGAATGCAGAATATTTATGGGAAAATTTAGACAGAAATAAACATTGTGTATGACATTTTCTTACACACTTTGAAGGGGACTTAATTTCCCCTCGTTATATATTATTTAAACAAAATGCAATGAGCATTTAATATATGCATTTTGATATAAAAAACCCTGTCTAAAAAATCGAAATACCCCACTAAAGTGTATGATAACAACAAAAATAGGAAATAATTAAAGCTGCCGCTACCATTTCCATGCCAAATTGAGAACGAAATATAAAGCTTAAGAGTAAAGTTAGAACCGAAGAGACTGAGAAGGAGAGCAACCCCCTGCGAAAGCTTGAGAATTGTTTTGGGGCTGGGTAATTTCCACTGAATAGTTTAGCGCCGTAAGCGACGGCTGATTGTTCATTTTTTGTATCATGTCCCGCGCTGCATCCACTGCATTCAAGGTGCTAATTTCGCATCCAAATGTCCCGACGCCGGCGCTGGAACTCCTCAGATCCCGCGGAGCAGAGACAATTGTGTGCCAGAGTGTACCGCCGTCGCGGGAGGAGATCCTAAAGAAGGTACCCGGTGTCGATGCCATCTATTGGGCCCACTATCAGCCCCTGAATGCCGGCATTCTGGATGCGGCCGGGCCCCAGCTGCGGTGCGTTAGCACCATGTCGTCGGGCATTGATTATGTGGATGTGCCCGAGTTTAAGCTACGGCAAATCCCATTGGGACACACACCGGGAGTGGTAAAGAATTCGGTTGCCGATCTGGCCATCGGTTTGATGATTGCAGCGGGTCGTCATTTCCATGCTGGGCGCACCGAAATCGAGAGGTAGGAGCCAACAGCTTGTGATGAGCTTTTTATATAGAAAGCTTTTTTACGGGGGGATGTCCCCTAACCAGACTTTTGAATACCCTTTTTGGAGAGGTTTTGAATTTTTAAGGATTTATAATTTAAACTCCCATTTGTTTGTAGGTCTCAATGGAAAACGGAGCAGATCAACTGGATGATGGGCCAGGAGATTCGGGACTCGGTAATAGGATTCTTTGGTTTCGGAGGCATTAGCCAGGCGATTGCCAAGCGCCTGCAGAGCTGGGACGTGGCCAAGATCCTTTACCACACCCGAACCCGAAAGGAAAACGACGGCGACTTCAAGGCAGAACACGTGTCCTTTGAAACGCTGCTGAAGGAAAGCGATTTCCTGGTGGTAGCTGCTCCACTTACCAATGAGACGAGGGATAAGTTCAATGCCCAGGCCTTTGGCCAGATGAAGAAGTCTTCGGTGTTTGTAAATGTGGCAAGAGGCGGTGGGTATTAAGAGTAAGTTTGTATGATTTCACAAATATAAATATATAATTTGTTAAAGGTCTCGTTAATCAACCGGACCTACATGAGGCCTTGACCAGTGGAAGGATATTTGCAGCTGGCTTGGATGTCACCACTCCCGAACCACTGCCCGCCGACAATCCACTCCTTAAACTGCCCAATTGTGGTGAGTTGGGCTAAATTCTTTACTATATATGGTTGCATTTTATATCTTTTATTTGTTTTTTAGTTATTCTACCCCATATGGGCACTCAGACCATGAAAACCACCATTGAAATGAGTCTCTTGGCCGCCAACAACATTCTTAATGCCATGGAGGGAAAGCCCATGATAAGGCCTGCCTACTGATTTTAATTTGGAAATAAATATATTTTAAAAATGTTCAATCTGAATAATAAATTAGGTACAAAACTGTAGAAAATCTCGCACAGAACAGTTTTCCGATTTAAAATAAATTCTCTTTTGGCCGAGTTATGATATTTTTTATTTTAAAAAAATCAAGAAGTTTTTTAATATAAAAAATCCGATTTTATAATACAAAATAATATTTTTCTAAGTCAAGGAATCATTTCCGACCCCATAAACCATATATATTCTTGATCAGCATTAACATACGAATCTTTCTAGACATGTCCGGAAGAAATCTATTTTTTGGCAATTTTTGCGAAATTTGATAAGGGGTTACATCATTAAAATTAGCAAAAATGGCAAAAAATTTTGATTTCTTAAAATTTTAAATTTGGTATGCAGTTTTTTTAAATTAATAAAAACTAACACAAAACTGCTTTCCGAATCGAAATTAATGCATTTTTGGCTTAGTTATGAAATATTTTAATTGTTACCTGCAAGGGTATGAAAGGTTTGTTGGCTTTTTTTTAGGTGATAAGTATCAGTGATATCTGACACTCTATAAAAGCGGTCTGCCACAGCTAATAGTTTTTCAGTCGTTACTCAAACGTGCAGGTAAATAGTCTGTGTTCAAATATATTTCGTAGAATTTAAGAGTCTAAAAGCTTTCAGAACACGCTCTTTAATATATTTCGAAAAATCAAGAGAAAATCTCTCTTAGTAATTATTTTTCACATGTTTACCTTCACACTTATAATTATTATTATTATTTTATTTAAAAAAAACCCCCAGATAATGTCCAAGCCCTACAAGGTACTAATAGCACACACCGATGTCCCGCCGGAGGGAATCGATATCCTAAGGGAAAAGTGCGAAATCCTGCAGGTCACAAGTGAACCGCCCAATAATCGGATCGAAGTCCTGGAGAAGATCAGGGGTTGCCATGCCGCTGTTTGGGGTGGTCGAGATCTTCTAAATGCCGAGGTTTTGGATGCTGCAGGTCCGCAATTCAAGGCGGTATCCACGATGTCTTCCGGAATAAATAATGTAGATGTTCCGGAGCTGAAAAAGCGGGGCATACCTCTGGGGAGTACTCCCGCCATGCTAACCGTGGCGGTGGCCGATCTAGCGGTGGGTTTACTTATCGCTGCTGCTCGGAGATTCCAGGAGGGACGAAGAAAGATCGACAGGTGAGCAGGATATATAGTATATATCTTTTCTTTATTGATATACTTGAAACGTTTTTCCAGAGACCAGTGGGAGAACTATCACCTTAATTGGCTTTTGGGCCAGGACATTCGTGACTCCACCGTGGGTTTTTATGGTTTTGGTGGCATTGGTCAGGCTATAGCCCAGCGTCTGTCCGGATTCGATATCGATCGTGTCTTGTACACCACCCGAAGTCGTGTTAGTCCGGAGATCGAAGAAAAGTTTAATGCCAAGAAGGTGGATTTCGATACGTTGCTGGCGGAAAGTGACTTCCTGGTCATTGCGTGTCCTTTGACCCAGGAAACTCAGGGTCTGTTTGATGCCACTGCCTTTAACAAGATGAAGAAGACCACTGTGCTGGTCAACATTGCCCGAGGCAGTAAGTTGATTATAATTCAGATTTATTATCGCTTTTTATATGGCATGGCTATCCCACAGAAATTGTCAACCAGGATGATCTTTATGATGCTTTGAAATCAAACCAAATATTTGCCGCAGGCTTGGATGTCATGGATCCCGAACCCCTAAAGTCAACAGATAAGCTGTTGGCATTGGATAATGTTGGTGAGTTAAAATATATTTAAATTATAATAAGAAGTTTATCTTTAAAAAGTAATACTTCTTTGAATGGAATTTTTTGAATGGCAACAAGTATAACAGCTCCAATCTCTTGTTGAATTTCTTGACAACATGACGCCTTTAGCTGTTATCTTTTAAGTCCCATTATCGTAGAGTACTTGACTAATTTCTTATTTGCTATGCCCTTACAGTGGTTACTCCGCATGTGGGTTATGCTACGAAGCGAACCCGAATCGATGCTGCTTCCCTGGCTGCCCATAACGTCCTGCGAGGATTAGCTGGGGAGCCCATGTTGTCACCCGCTTATTAAATGGAAAATCTATTGTTTTTTTAATTAAATTTTTGAAACCCATAAAAATATTCTCCTCTATTCGCTGGGACTACTATTAGGATCCTCTTTTACCACGTGAGGTAGGTATGTGGGATCCCATTCCTCCCTTTGCAACGCCTTGAGGTACTTGATCCTCTCTTGGAGCACCCGCTGCATCAGGTCCGGCTCCTCCACTCTATGTTTCTGGGCAATTTCCAAGGCTCTCCGCCAGTTGTGCATTCGCAGGGACAGACCCACCGCCTGTTGGATCTTACGGCCATGCAGCAGGATCGTCTCCGCCTCCAGCATCCTGCCCAGCATCAGCGAGTTCTCTGCCATCTGCTCGGCACTCGAGGGCGTCAGTGTCTTTAGGTGCTGCAGGTAGCTCACCTTGTCGATTTGCAAGGCGGCTGCATAGGCCTCCTCGCTAATCTGCAGTTGGTGTTTCCTGGTGGCCACCGCCGCCAAGGTGGCCCACAGACTGGCATGCTGTGCCAGCCGGCAGATCTTCAGCGCCTGCGGCCACTGGCCCTCGAGCAGAGCGCGATGCAGGACCTCGCAGTAGATGTTCACATTGACGGGGAGCAGGGCCCCAGCACAACGAAAAGTAATTACTGCATCCTCGAAACTCTCGATGGCAATCTGCTTGCCGAATTCCCTACAAAACATAGGAGTTTATAGTGAATTTTGTATTAAATCTAAGAAACTTACGCGGTGTCCAAGGTAATGGTGGTGAGGGCAATGATCGTGGGATCGGAGGCTCCCTCTCCGGGACAGTACCAAATGCTGTAGCAGGAGTCGTGCACTCCCACCAGGATATTCGTCTCGCTGGCCCATTTAATCGCCGTGAGCTGCGTCCCGATCTTGTAAATCTCGTCGGTCCGCTCACCACTGAGATTGCGCGACTCACTGACGAACAGCTCCCGATTGGAGTCTATGAAGGCCACGAACTGGTCATCCGGTGTGCCCGCTCGACAGGCGGCGATCTCCGCCAGCGGCTGCTTGGCTCTCAACGAATGCGGATCGTACTGCCGCGATGCACCTGGTATCAGATCGAAAAGGTGAAGCAGCGTGGGGTCTGAATTGTCACGAATGGCCAGGACATCAAGGCCCAAGGAGAGGGAGCGCCAGGTGAGCAGGGGAATCTGCGCTTGGGAGCCGGGATATCGGGGATTCAAATGCAGGCGACCCGTGTAGGTGTACACCCATATAGACGAGGCATCCAAGATCATAAAGTATCTAAAATAATTTATTAAAGATTAGAGACATTCTAGAGATGAAAGGTACATTTTACTCACTTCTTGCCCACTTCAATGACCCTGGTATCGTTCCTGCCATCGACTATAATAGGGGTATTGATGTACTTTTCATTGTAGATGTGAATCTGATGGGTGGTGGCCACCACCAGGTGTCCATAGCCCAGACCAAAGTTAATAACGCGCTGCGGAAAATCCAGGACATCTTGGGTGCCATTGGCAATGTCCTTTAGAGCAATGGACTTGCGACTATTGCTGGTGGCCTTTAGATTCCTGGAGATCAATTGCTGCTCGATGGCATAGGCCACTATTAGCTGACCCGTGGAGGTGCCACACGCCACCTGAGTGCCATCCGCCGACCAGGACAAGCTGAAAAAGGAGCCCACACTCGGGGCCGTAAAGCGGGCACTGTTGTAGGACCACTGAGATAATAAATATAAAATAAAGTATTTTATAAGTTTTTTTGAAGTCAGAACTAGGATTAGGACTCACTCCCGTGCTGTGGCACAGCTTGAGCAGATTGAAAGTGCCAACCAGCAGGTAATCCTTCTCGGGATTGAAGGCCACACTCGTGATGGCGAACTCCTCGGCGGCACTGGTAAACAGATTGGCGCCCTGGGCATCCCAGATCTTGAAGCGAAAGTCCTCGCCGCCGGAGGCTATGACATTGGACTGAGCGGACCAACTGAGGGCCAGAACCAGGCCATCATGGGCGCGCCACTATTGGGATGAGATTATAATTATTATAAGAACTTTATTACAGAATAGGCATAATATATCTCACCCTTATAAGCTTGCTATTAGCTGCCAGTGGCTTGATGGACACATGACTTCCCTGACAGAACACAATCGAGGTGGAGTTGGGTGCCCAGCGAGCGCAGCGTATGGCCTCCTCGTTCTGCACCACCGTGGAGCGTAGCATACCGGATCTTGACCAGATCTTGATCACACCATCCTCGCCAGCGGTGAGCAGACCGGCGCCATCAGGACTCCATCGTCCCGAACTAATAGCTGCCCCATGGGCCGAGATGCTTCGCTCCACGCGGGCACTCTTATTGAGGATCACGAACCGGCCATCGTTGCTGCACACCAGCAAGGTGTCGCTGCCCTTGCCCCCGCCACTGCTCCGGCCGCCTAGCAGGAGCCAGTGCAGGTCCGTAGGGACAAAGTCATCTGGCAGTTTGGCTACCTCCACAGAGTCTCGGGTCACGTCGCTCCACTTGAAGATCTGGTGGTCATCGCTGCAGAAGGATATAAATATATTAAAAACATCATAAATAATAATATTAAATTATTATTAATAATGATGATGCTACCTCACAAAATATATCTCCTCATTGCTGCTCCAATCCACGCAGCTCAGTGGATAATTCGAACTTGTTTGGCTGCCTTCCCCTGCTGCCTCGGTGGTTTTTAGGGAACTCTTCTTGCAGAGTCGCGTTCGCAGCTTCATGGCGGCAATATTTTTGTGACAACCAAAAAACCAAAATATTTTCTTTGTTTGGGCCAAAGCACTGGTTGTCAAGGTGATTTGGTTTCCTTTTGATTTTAATTGTTGAATGTTGCCATGGTTTTGCGCGGTTGATATCGTAATAAGTGGTTGTGATATAGGAAAACTAACGTATTTAAACGAGATTCGAGTTTGGTTGAAATATTTGGTTGTATTATCGTAAGCACAAAAAAACTTACCACGCTGATCCTAATATCGTATTCGTATAAATGGTTGTGATATAGGGAGAAAATATAGAAAAATCCGAACAACTTCCCCACGACCTTAATATCGTAGAAACTTTGTTTTACCTTTTAAGTTTCCTTACTTTGTGTGATCTCATTACAAATTTTTAATTTCCTACTTGCTAAGCTTCGTTTCTACTGTTGTAATCAACGCTGTAAGCAAATTGTCTGAGATCAACTTTGCTTCGTCTAGTTTTTGGGAGTCGCGTTGAGTTAAGTTAGTAGGCTAGTCTATAATTAAGGTTTATTATTAAGTCAAGCAAGCGAAACCGTTTTCACCAGCAATTTGCCGTAATCATTGTCAGCGACTGAGACGCAGATGCGAATTGTTCAGACAAATAAGATTTGGCCGACGGAAATGCTGGAACGTGACGAGATCAGATTCGAACTTAAAGGGCAAATATTACGTTGATTAATATAAAAACTTTCGGGCACAGTTCCACTTAACTATTGAGTTTCCCTTTGTACTAATTACTTCCGTTTCCTTTTAATTGCGGCCACTCCACTAAATGGCTTTCAGCATAATGACCAACATAAGTTCTTCGGAGTGAACTAATCGATTCCTGAAGCAGGCTTCAATTATTTTCTAATTTGTTTGCAGCCACAGAAGGAATTTCATCAATAAATCGGTAAAAATCGTACTAATCATCGCACCCCGAAGGGAAACTCACACGTCAATGGGGTTGTCAAGTCGCTGTCCGATTTCCCTGGCTTTCCATATCCACTCATATAGAACAATCAATCTATATAGTGGAAATCTACGCGGTTCTGTCTTATCATCCCCCCATTGTCTTGTTTGGTTTATTGTCTTGGAGGCGTAGTTTATTGGATTTACTCGACACAAGTGACACATTTCATGTTCAACGAACTAGCCCAACTCATTTTTCATGTACCCGAGTACATTGGCTTACTGGATTTTTCTTATTTGTGCTCGAGTAAAAGGTTTTTTTTTTTTTTTTGGGGGACAATCAAGGAATGGCTAGGAGTTTGAGGAAGATAATTTCATACCAAAGTGATTGGCCGATTATTCGTCTGGCCATTGAACTGGGACTAGGACTATAATTGGTCTTTAACCAAATCAGTTATATAATGGTATGCAATTTTCAGGTATTTTCTATAAATGGCAAGGGTTTTAAATATTACAATAAATAAACAACAAGTAAAACTATATTTTATATAGTAGAAATATATTTTTACTTAGAATCTTTAACATGAACCCTCAGTCGGTAGTCTCCTTTTCTTGGTCAAATCCTTAAGCAAATCTTAGTAAATCCATTCCCTTTCGTCTTCTGTTGTAAATTCCAAAGAACTAACCACGAAATGTCGTAAAAAATTGATGTTTTTGACGACTGAAACCGAACGCAAAACAAACTTTATTAACTTTTTATTATTTGCAGCCATAAAACGCAAATAAATCCAGCTTCGCATAATGTATTTGCAACATTTTTGTGTGGCACATTTTCACCCCTCAGCATTGCAGCATGGCAGCATTGCATTTCCTTATCAGAGCATTGCACTTGATTAGACTGGCGACACTCTGATGGTCAAATCGAAGTCAATATCCAATTGAAGCTGTCTCAGTGACGGCGATGCGTTGACGACTGCAGCCAACTCTGATGGTGGCGGTGGCTGCCTTTAAGCGTCAAATGGAGCGAAAAATAAAGAACAAATCGATGGGGAACAGTGGTTGGGGAACTTAAGATTAGCATTTAAAATTTAAAAATATTTTTTAGGTATTTGTTGTATATTTTTTTAAATTTACATTACATTAAATGGTTAATACAGAAGTGCATATACATAGAAAACCAATGTGAATAATTTTAATGCTATAAATACATTTTGAAAAATTAAATTTACTGCAGAAATTAAATTAAAACCCTTTAAAATGTGCTTAAAAGTAGGTAATATCCATCAATTTCAGAATAAGTTTGTAACATTTTATAGCTTAATTTGTACAATTTTGCAATGCCTTTGAAAATTCAAGTTATTTCTGTAAATTTAATGAATAAATATTGTAATATAGTAAATAAGGCTCTATAAAAGTAATGTTGCAGATTTTAACTATGGTTTCCACTAAGAACTTTTTAGTTTTTCTGATTCAAAATATTTTTAATCTTATTTTTAATCTCAAATTGTTCTGTGTGCCACTGTGCTTGCCATTAAAACTGCAAGTGTTTGCGGCCACCATTAAAAGTGCAGCCACATCGCGGAGCAGTGGAGCTCGTAAATGTAAACGTTAACGCAAACCCAACCCGAACTTCGTTCCGCTCAAATTCCGCTCCAACCCAATCCGAAAACCGAAAAGCCGAAATAGCCCCCGCCAATCGCGGTACTATTCTTTGCGTTGAAAGCCCTCTTTCAATCGGTTTGCTTTCAACGATCTCACACGAGTGCCGTGGGGTTGGGTTCGTTTTGTTATTGGTTCAACTGTCGCGTAGTTTTCAGTATTCAGACTCGGTGTTCAGTGCTCAGTGCTCAGTGTTCGGTGTTCGGTGTTCAGTTCTCAGCTTCAGTTCGCTGCGATTCAGTTTCTGTTTCTGTTTCAGTTCGCTGTCAGTTTGTCAACGGGTCGCATGCGTGTTCGGAAAATCGTCGTCAACCTAAATATTCATATATATTTTTTGGGAAATCGGAAGGCTACAAGAAAGTGTAGTGCCTGTGCAGTGAAATAAATAAATACCACTTCACCCAAAGAAATATTAAAGGAAAATAAAATAAAAAGCCATGAGGTCCTACGGTTCAACAGGCTGCCTTTTGCTGGGCTTATTCTCTCTGCTGATGTTGCTTAATACTGGTGGGTTTCCAGCACCAAGTACTTTTCCACCTTTTATGCACCTGAGCACCCCCATGAAATCGCAGCTAATTAAGTGGAGGGAGCTCACGGACTGGCTCAAGTGCGTGGGCGTGATTTTCCATTTAAATGTGCAACAAAAAGCCAAGCCAAGGGTTCAGTGAACCAAATCAAAGGGGTTCATGTAAGCGGAAAATAAGGGGGAAACTCAGTCAGATTAAAGTATTTGACAGCTGCTGCAAGACTGTGAAAATCATTTAAGGAGAGCAGAGAAAATGTACAGGGAAACCTTACGAATAATAAATAAAGTAGTGGCTTCCTAAACGAATTTCTTTAAAGTTAAAAATATATAGAAATTTAAAGTAACAAGTAATTGCATTTAAAATGTAAAAACAACCATTTTCATTGTCTCAAGTTTGAATTCAAAAATTATTTTTGCACATAAATTTAAATTTATATATTGTTTCCCCGTTAAGATTCCTTATTGTTTTCGCTTTCCTGAACTGACATAATTACTGGTAATTACAAAACACAATCAATTGACCTCATTGATAAGCCTCTTGAGTTCCCTGCATGGCCATCTGTCTGCACTTCATTAAAAAAGGCTTATTTTTTGCATTATCAGAGCAGTTTTGCCTGACATCTGAAATCCACTTGAAATACCTGAAATTCAGGAGAGAAGAAAAATGAAAAATCCGGCGAGCGTTCGCCAACAGCTTCATTTTCCATGATTTATTGATATTTATGCACTTGCCCGATATTTTTCGTGTTTATTTTTACTTCAAACGCCTGACGTTCGAATACAATGAGAACAAAAATATTTTCACAACCTTAAAATTACGGAAAACATGAATATTATAAATAGCAGCCACCAGAAACGATGGAAAAATGAGAAATGCTTTTCAGTAATTATATTATATTCGGAGAAGTAAAAAGGGGTGCGTCAAGAAATATTCGTGTAGTAACATGGAAATTGTTTTTAATGCCTTTATTATCTAAGAGGAGATATATAGTCGTATTTATATTATGTTAAAGTCATTACTCAAAGCGCACTTCAAATTTTCCATGGATAAGCGTGCCACATATCTGGTCTTGTCATCAACTAAAAGTTTATTTGTGTTTATGCTACGTGGGCGTGGCCAGGAGTAGTCGCAGCAAATGACAACTTTGAGTGGCATAAACTTAATGCCACAAGCTGGCCACCACTCACGACAGCCCCCATAAAAAGTGACTCAGCTTGTGATAAACCCTAGTCATCCAAATCTTGGGGGTTACATTATTATTTCTGGTATTCGCAAAACAGCTCATCTGATTGTCAGTTGCCCGATGAGGCATATCCAGCCTTAACCTTCCACTTATCTTAATTGTCAGTTGCCGAGATCGTCTTAATTAATAATCCGCCGCTGGGCCCAAAGGCTAATTAAATCCATTCAGCTGCTTACTAATTTACTGCAGTTTTCTGTGGCATAAAACGCAGTCATCTTGAATATGGAAACTAGACTGGAATTAAAATCCCTGGGAGAACACACCCACCCACATGGCATTGTAGCAATTTGTGGGGAATGCATTAATGTAAACTTTTCTACAGCAAAAAGTATTGATTTCAAGGTTCATAAACAGGGATTTAAATCTTGTTTGTGTTGTATAACCTTTTATCCTTTTTATATCTCAACAAAAAACAAGCTATACACTTTTTCTATATTTTTTAAACTAAGAAAAACGTATGAAAAACGTATTTGTGGGTGGGCGGAAATAACGACAGGCATAATGTAGGAAATTATATAGAATTCCTAAGGGGATTTCGTGCTCTTTCATTACACAATTTGTTGTTATTTATAGTCACATTTACTGTTTATGTCAGAAACTTTATAAACATGTATAGTATTTCTAAATATTTGTATTAAGAGTAGAATGAAACCTAATAAAATATTTAAAAATCACGTATTCAATATCTTATACTGATGAAATCTCTATTTAAGGTCATTGTTTATATCAAACATACATTGAATAATCCACAAATATGTACAAAAAAGGCGCAACCTTTCAAAGACACTCCCACTGGCCCTTCCCTTTGCATTCCAGCAATTTCTCGATGCATTTCAATATACCTAATTACTTAGGCATTCGGGCCAATTGCGCTGCAATTTTGATAAACGTTCGACGAGCTGAGTTTAGCATTTGGCATTTTTCGCTCAGTTGAACGAACTTTGATGGCATGTCAGTTAAACTTTCCATTGAACCTCCATTGCCTTTTTGGGGTCACAAAGTTACGCCCCTCCTCAGACTCGTAAGTTTGGCGAGCAGCTTAAAGGGGAGTTGGTGATATGGAGCCAAACTTTATGGGAGTTTTCAGGGGGAAGAAAACCGGGGCTGGTAATCAACACGTTTCTTATGGGGCAAAGTCGTAGGGTTATGAAGTTACAGGGGGTGAGATCGAAATATGTTGCAAGTCCAACTTGCGGCCTGCCTCAAGTTTTTGCGGCTTAATGGAAAAATTGCATGTGAACCCCCAATGGCTGTGTTTGAGTGTGTGTTTTGTGGGAAACTCTGTGCCCCATTGTTGGGAACTCTGACTTTCAGTTGGATATGTGTAAATGGCATATGGCATATGTGCTGCAGTTCCACATGCCGAGGGCAATAAACTCCAGCGACTTTATAGGCCTAGCTGTCATTTTCAGAAGTTTACTGACATTAGTTGTGGAGTGCCTTTTATGTTGTATATGAATATGTTTTAAGGGTTGAGTTTATTAAGGAATAGTCAGACTAGAAATTAAAAGAAAACCCAAGAAATCACATGACTTTTAACATTTAATTTAATAATGCAGCTCATTGTAAACATAAAACCATTTCGCCTGTCTGAAAACTTAAGATCTATGTTTGAAGCCAGCTTTTTGTTTCCCGGGAACCCCAGCCCCCTCGCTTTTGCTTCGACGATGATTAAAGCCGAATTCCAATGGCCAAAACTATCGGCGAAAACATCTCGTCCAACAAATACTTACGCACTTAGCAGCCCCCAAATCCGAAACCGAATCTGAAGCCGATTCGGAATGGGAATCGGAATCGTACTCAAACTCGAATGCGTTTTGGCCATGTTTGGGAGGCAGTTGCGGCTGCCACAGCAGTTGGCATAATGCAAGGCACAATATCAATTTTCCACGAGCTGCAACGGAATTACAGTCATTACCATTAGTAAACTGCCACCGACGGCAAGCGGACGCGCAAATAAACAATTCAGCAAACGATCTGACAATTCAACTGTCAATTAATTTCAATATATTGTAAATGATTATAATTTCCATCTCAGTTACGCATACGTTTTTCGCGGCACTTTTTCGGTTCTCAATTGCCAACGTAGCCTGCCAATGCGAAAACGAATGCGAATGCGAATCGAACGCAAATTGCAATGTTTATGCCCCTTGTTTATGGCCAAATGCGGTCGCTGGCCGAAAACACGTTTCGGTTTTGGTTTTCGGCTTCTATCAATGCGTTGGTTGGCACACTTCTCCCGCCTTTTCCCGCCACTTATCTAGGCTTTCGTTTAAACGCACCTCAACGTGTTGGCTAAGTGCATTTAACCCGAACGTTAGCGTTTGACGTTTAAATTGGCCAGCGAAACTAGTTTTATGGTCGCCATCATCTTAGCCACCGCGGTCATCATCATCACTCAAGTGTTCTTGTAGTCATACACCGAAGAATATTAATGAGAATATTGTTTTTCCTGGCAGGGAAAGGGATAATTTAATACGAAAGCAGAATCAATATTTAAGATTGGAAACTCTCCAGTGAAGAGTTATTATCCCATTGGAACTATTCCAGACAAATCTACAAAAGAATTAAATTATTAATTATCAATTACTTTTACTTCTTTATAAGTTCTAAGAGGTTTCTTTACAGAAATATATATTTCTTTTAAAAATGTATAAGCCATATTATTTTAGTAATTATAAAGTTATTAAGATAGGCCTCTTTTTCCCCTGTGCATCCACAATTGCTGGCTCCGTTTAATCAAATAATTATTTACACACTACTCGGGCCCGGCTAATCGCACGCATAAACCAGCCTTAGCCGAACTTTTTGACACTTTTATAAGGCAGTTGCCCCATAGGCTGTCCCATAAATAACTCGGCCCGGCCGAAACTCAGCTTCTGGACTCAAATTAGTGGCGGCTCTAAGCAGTATTTCAAAGATATCCGCCAAAAGGCATTGCATGCAGCAGGAAATTATGGCCATTCCAGTTGAGTTTTGATGGGTTTCGATTCATTAGCGGGTCAGTTATGGATTTGAAGAGCAATAATTACTTAGTTACTTTATTATACTCTTGTCCAGCTTTGGTTCCCAGAGAAACGGGAAATCATGTAGAAGAAACGAAGACAAGGTAAACCTATACCTTAGACCTACCTTAGACTTACCTCATTCTTTGTGTTTGTTAAGTAAATATTAAAAGAAAACTAAGCCTTAACAGATTCTTCCCTAATAATATTTAATCTTTAACCTATTTTTCAGCCTCTGCTGTGCTGCGTTGCTGGCGCTGCTCCACGGATGTATCTAATGGCGAGTTCTGCAATGATCCCTTCCAACCGGACGGCATTTCGGAGCAACAGCGCTACTGGAGCTACGTGAACTGCACCTACTCGGTGGGCGTGAAGTCAGTGAATGCGCGGCCAGTCTGCAAGAAACTGGTGCAGGAAGGTGAGCTAAATATATATCTATATCTGTTAACTATATAGCCAAACCCCCACACACATCACCAGCAGTGGCAGTGGCAGTGCACATCAAACAAAAAAGTCAAAATAATGCCACACATGAATAATTGTGCACCCGTTGCATTTGCATTGTTGTGAGTGCTTGTGCGGTCTTTGGACAGGTTACACTGAGAAAAATGGATAAATACATAGGAGGAACTTTATAAAAAAAATATTTAAAAAATAAATATGAACTTGTTTTGTAAAATTCAAGAAAAATCTCTTGAAATATAGAGTTGAACTCTAAGAAAATTACTCAAAAATATTTTTTAAATTAGTAATCAATAATTATAATAATAAATATATACAAAATACCCTTGAAATCAAAGCATTCAAGATTATAAAATAAATGTTGTATAGTTTTTTCCCCAAGTGTAAATCCACAATGTAGCTTAAGAAGCAAGGGGATCAGATCAGCCGATCGACAAGACTCACACCCGGCTGTGGCTTAGAGTCAAACGAGATTGAAATTTATTGGCCTGACAAAGTCCAAACAAGTGCAGGCGACACAACAAACACAGCAAACAAAGCATACACAAGCTGAGCTGCAGAAGTGCAGCTGCTGGGCGGTCAAAGGGGCGTGGCAGGTGGGGAATGGGGCGGGGCGGAAGGCAAAAAACAACAACAAGTGGCGACATTTTGGCCCGCTGAGCCGAGTTGCATGTGCCGCTAATTTACGGCAAATTTATGAAGAGAGTGTGAGAGAGAGATAGAGTGCTAGAAACAAACGAGGCGTATGAGTGATATACGTTTTCTTTTTGTTTTGGCGATCTGAAGTCCGATTCAGCTTGTTGCCTGTCTGGTTTATGGCCGGTTTTATTGTTGTCTGTGGCCGAGGCAATTTGTGCATTTGCATACGCGACCAAAACAAAACAAAATCACACTTTTCACCTTTTATTTTTATTTATTTATTTATTTTGGCCAATTTACCAAGCGTTCCGTGTCGCCAATTTCGATCTAAATTCACTTTGTACGTCAGCCGTGCATAAATTTATGCCTATCAGCCTGCAGACGACTCGTTTTGGTGTTGAGCCTCATAATGTAGGCCATTGATGGCTAAACAATGCAATACAAATAATGGTTGACTTTAAATTATGTAATTCAACCAGCAAAAGCTTTATTGTGAGGCTTATAGGGGCAGAAATTAATGAAATGGGAGACTGCTATTATTTTATATATAATTTGTGACATGTACTTAATTTATTGTTAATAACAAAAGGCATTTAGTTTGAAATTTGCATTGCTTAAAAAGTAATTAACTATAAAAACTAAGCCTAGAAAATAAAATATGAATCTCATACATAAAATTTAATTATAACATATTCCACACACATATCTTTGTTAATACACTGTAGAGCGGAAGGCCTCGGTAGCCATTGCTCATTATCCTTTGTTTACTTTTAGTTTATAACTATTAGTTAGCATTAAATAAATAAATAAATAAATAAAATATGAATAATATAGATACAAATATAAGTAAATAGAAGAAGGTTGTATTTATAATAACTTTAAGAAAAACCCTACTTTTTGAATTACAGTATATACCTTTAATAAATTTTTTTTAAATGTATTTTTATGTAGATATACGCCGGACAGGGATTTCCTATCCGCACTTAGGCAATTTTTTTTGTTATGACCAATTAATGAACACCATTAAATTTTTGCAATCAAGCGTCTACAAATTGGCTCGGCGAATATTTGCAAGACTTGCGCCTGGCAGTTGGCAGTTGGCAATTAAAATTGCAATTGCAGACTCTCAACTGAATGGCGAGGCTACGTCTCCGCGTCTATATCTTCGGGTATCTGCGACTGTTGGGGACTAAGCCCAGCTACATGAGCAGCGCTTGTAATGCGCAAAATACATAATATACGAGAGTCGAGCGGCTAAGGAAAAAATATACACAAAATACATATAAATTAATTAAGTTGTTGCACAGCGTGAAGCGCTCAATTACGGGTCGCGAGGAGAGCCGGGGGGGTGTGGGGTGGAAAATCGGCGGAAAACGCGGCAGCAGAATGTGTCTGAGAAAAATGCAACTAGGCGATGCAACTTGTTGTTGCCATCTGAGTGCACCGATCAATTTATATGCCGTTAAATTAATTGCCTATGAAGCTCAGCCCGGCTTAGACGAGTGGCTGACTTTTTGGCAAAATGTCAAATTAAAAATGTATTCCATAATTCTGCCACCGGCCGAGAGACCGGGGCACTTGGAGCCCCAAATGTGAAGCCGAGCAATTAGCCGCAGGCTGTTGGTTTTGCCAGTGACTTGGCAAAAGATATTTTCGCAACCTGTGTTTCAGGCCCAAAAAGCTGAGAGCCGGCCTAAGACCATTTTGGGCCGCTAACAGCTTATTCCAATGCACTTTTCTCTCGGGACGTGTCGAGCCAAAAGGGAGAGGTTATATCGTCAAAGTTTGATTTATATGTTTTGCTCAACAAGTCACTGAAAATTGATGTGGGACTCTGAAGAGGTTCAATTTAATGGAGCTCCTTATAAATTAAATGATTAGAGATATATTTTTTTAAGCTAGAAAGATTCCCCTGTTGATGCTGGTCAATAATATATATGGTTTATGGGGTCGGAAATGATTCCTTGACTTAGAAAAATATTATTTTGTATTATAAAATCTGATTTTTCATATTAAAAAACTTCTTGATTTTTTTTTAAATTAAAAATATCATAACTCGGCCAAAAGAGCATTAATTTTAAATCGAAAAACTGTTTTGTGCAAGATTTTCTACAGTTAATAAATCTGCATACTTCATTTGAAAATTTTGAAAATTCTATTTTTTATCAAAATCAAAAATTTTAATGATGTAACCCCTTATAAAATTTTGCAAAAATGGCCAAAAAATCGATTTCTTCTTAATATATCTAGAAAGATTCCCCTGTTGATGCTGTTCATGAATATATATACTTTTTAGGGTCGGAAACGTCTCCTTCACTGCGTTGCAAACTTCTGACTGAAATTATAATACCCTGCAAGGGTATAAATATATTTTAAATTATAGATCCAAAAGAACCTCAATAAAATTTATAGGTTCTAGTTTTTTAGAGTATAACATCTTCGACTTAAACCGCTTTTCCAAAACTCTTTTCTATTTTGTTTTAATTTACCATATTTGTTTCAGCATTTTTTTGTCGTTTTAAAACATACATAACGAGCCATAAATAATTAAATTAATTAAAATTTAAATTTATTACGCTGTGTGTGCGGTAGACAATGTCCGAACGGCATTTTTCGTTGCGTTTTCGTAAAACTGACCAACTGGCGAGCGGAGCACGCGGCGTATGCGCAATGTGGCAATGGCACACACACTCACACACACGCATTCCGAGTGGCCGCTGCATTCTGAGCCTTGTTTGATGCGACGGCCGTGATAAGGCGACAATTGTCAACAATTTTATTAGGCCCACTGTCCACCGTCTGAGCCAATCGAAGCCAATCACGAAAATGGTTAGCGTTGACCATTTCGAGCGGCTCTTAAAGTTCGACTTTGCCGTATTCCATTGGAAATGTTTTTACCAGTTTGTCATTTTGTTCTATTTGCCAATACGCACACTCAACCTCTGAGAGCCTATACACGCAATTTGTTGTGTGTGTTTACTTATTTATTTTGTATTTCTTTTTTTTTTTTGTGAGATTTGCTCTTTCTGGTTTTCATTTGCTGTCCGATTGCAAATTGTCTCTCGTTTCGCGCTCGTTCGTTTTCGGCAAATCGTGTGCGTTTCGCAGGCCTCATTTTGCGGCTATTTTTTTGTTTGCCGGGCATATAGCCGGGCATATAGATATAGCCCGCCTTGAACCCGTTCGCCGGTGGAGAGGTCAGATCGGGTCCTACTCAAATTACTTTCTTTCGTTCACACAGATCGTTAGGTGCGATTAGGACTGGTTCATTGCTGAAATTTACATAGTATTTTAAACAGGATTTGACTAAGAGTTGTGCTGATTTTATATGATTATCTTTTATTTATATTATTTTATTTTCAAACAAATTAATAAAGGGAATTTCTTACTTTTTGCTTACAGATTTCCTTTTGAAATATTATATTTTTTAGCTTAAACTTCCATTATTATCTAAGATATATATTAAAGTATATCAACCCACCAACTTCCACAAAATTAACTAAGCGCCTTAGAGCTATCCATCAGCCTGGGTTCATACCCCAGACCATGACCACATTGTTGGCTTCATTTTTTCGCCTTGCGGCCATTGCAAATGTCATTTCTGAGATATTTTCATGGCTCCCAAGAAACAAGCAAAGCCCACGCCGGCACGTACACATAAATTAAATTTAATGCGCACACACACACACACACACACATACAGAGTAGACCTTAATTAAAATGGTTAAATTAAAATATTTCAACTGCTCTGCATTTACAGTTTACGGCAAGCGGGTAATTTCGCGCTCCTGCTTTTACGAGGACATGGACGATCCGGCGGACAAGTGTGCCAATGACCAGACTTCGTCCTACATCAAGACCGTCTACTGCCGCACCTGCACCACGGATGGCTGCAATGGAGCCGGAGGAGCCTCACCCTGGGCCGTCTTGCTAGTCCTGCCTCTTTTGCTGGCAGCATTCCGGCAGACATGCAAATGAGCCACGGATCCGGAACCGGCCCGGACTTAATTACGGGACTGCAAGTTGAAGCTGGCCGGGTATCTCGCTCGGTGCTCTTAGCCCCCCGGACTTAACTGGATTTCTTCAACGAGTTTTTAGTCACTTTGCCCCCCACGAATCAGCACAAATCACACGCGAAGGAACGGAGCTCCATGTCCCCTCGCCATCATCCAGGACCCAGCAGAATGGTCTCCCTCACAAGAAATAAAAAAGAAACAAGAAACAATCAGTTATTCGTAGTCACAACTCCACATTCATCATTCAACTTCAACACTCGATCAACACACACACACACTTAACTTTGTTGTAATTTGTACATCTTTGTAATATCTTTATTATGTATTTGTAATTGAAATGGCAAGGCTTACGGCCGCAGCCTCTTACATAAATAAATAAATCGTAATTAGATGGTAAATGAGTTGTGTTTTTATAAGGATTTTATTTGTAAATTGTTCAAGGTAAGTTTAAGTAATATAAAATTAAATATAGTGTAGTTTGTTAACCAACTTATAATAAAACTTTAAAAATATATTCTTGTTACTTAAGTTATCACTAAAATTTCAATAAAATAACTAAGAAAGTAGAACCTACTGTCACAATTTGTAGTCATAGCAACCCATAAAAATGTCAGTTATTCATTTAATTTCCCTTCATATCACCTTGGCCTTGAAACACCTGTCACTCCCGCCTTTTCCAGATCCTTAAAATGTTAATGTCCCCCAAGAAAAAGTCCAGCCCCGATCCTGGAGTGCCCACGACCTCCTCGAGCCGTCGCCATCGGCTCGATCCTGTGCCGCAATGGAGTCGCCTGTTGGACCACAACGACGAAGCGCGACAGAGGAAGAAAAACGACCGCTACCAGGTGGAAATACCCAACCGGCTGTGGTCGCTGTTTGGCCATGTGAGGCCAGTGGAGCCGGAAAAGAGGGAGCTTTATTCGCTGGGCTCTTGCGTTACTGCGGCTTCCGGAAAAACGCTGGCCTGCTGTGTGATGGCTTGCTGCGCGGGAAGCTTCCACTCGCTGGACTGCTGGGACTCGCAGCTGCTGGACAGGATCATGGTGAATGGGCAGGACTACCATGAAGTCAGCTTGGCGGGCAGGCTGCGCAAGGATTTGGGACCGGGCGGTGAACTAACCCTAGAGAGTCTGGGCACTGCGTGCTCCTTAGACGGACAGCCCTTTTGGCTGGACATCGAGAAGTTCAGTTCCGGCAAGCTGTACAACAAAAGCAAGAGCCTGGGCTCCGCCCTGAGTGTCTTCTTTGCTCACCACCTGCAGACCGGCATCCTGCAGCTAAGGGATCAGGCGCTGGCCTTTGGTTATATTCCAGAATTTGCTGCCGGTGGTGCCTTCTTCATGTTCCATTGTCAGGCGCAGGGGAAGCCGGTGTTCAACGAATGCGAGACCGCACCGTATGTCCTGAGGATGCGACAGCTGAAGCAGTTACTCAATTGCATCCTGATCACTTTAGACGAGCGCCAGCACAATGTGCCCTTCAAGATACACAAGGTCCACTGTGTGCCCATGGCCGCCTATATGTAGATACATCCATATATGGGGGGATATTCAATTTTAAATTAACAAGTTATTGAAAACTAGAAGTACTTTTCGAAATTTATATATCTTCTGATCCCAACAGCATTTCGCCTCTCCAATAAAACTTGAATCTAAAGGAAGGCAACAAGTATAAACAATTTTTGTTTAGAGAAACTAAAAGTAAAGATGGTAAACACAAGAGAAGGGATTTAATTATAAAAGTTATTGATTGTGTTAGCCATTTGCCAAAGGAAAACTTTTAGCCCTAACTTATCAAGTAATTTTAGTTAATAAAATGTTATAATAAAGATTAACAAAATTTAGATAAAGCTATAAGAGGCAGAATTCTTAATGCAAAACTTGAATGTCCAAAGGTTAGATTATTTTCAAAAGGTTAAAGTATATACTTACAGCCTGAATAGCTGTATAAAACCATTACATTTCCCGAGAGATGATCTAATCCAAGAAGAATTATGCACTTTATTGTCTCTTTTATTATCTTAAAAAAAAAAAGTGCACTAAAACGAACAACCCCTGGAGCTCTCCTAACCCGACGAGGCCCACATTAAAAACACATTTCTGCCAAGCAAATCAAAAGTAATTGTCTCACATCACTGCGCTTGACATTGCCCGCCGACTGCGATGCATTTGGTTTCCTTCCCATTATACAAAATATGCTTATGTGTCGTACTTTCCGTATATATCTACACGATTCAGTCACCGCTTTGAAGCGGAAATGAGTTCAGTCGCTGATTCAATTGGCAAAATTCCGCTAATTGCCAACCACGCAAATGTTGAATCTCCGCAAAGCCTCCTTTGCATCCAACTCCGGATGACTTCTGACCTCAGCTTCAATTGAGCGTAGGAGGGGACTGGGATTGATAAATTGCTTAGTTTTGGGTGCCGCCCGGTAGCGTAATAATTCCATTATGCTTTAATTAAAATCGCATAAAACCGACGGTGTGTATAAATAAAATTTGTCACATGGCACGAAAACCGAAGGCTGTCATAAAAAAGGAAAACACTTGCGAAAATCTTAGTCAAAAAAATAACGCAAAAGAAAATATATAGTAAGGTAAAAAAATGGGTGGCAACTAAGCCCGCAAGTAATGCGAATAAAACGTTTTGGCCATTTAAACTTGTCGCACGGCTTTTATGCGTTTTGGTTTTTAGTTTATTTTTATTTTATTTACTTTTTTTTTTTGTGCTAAGTCGTAGTAGTTGTTGGCCAGCGAAAATGTCGTACAGAGTTTCCAATAAAACTGGCCATTTATCATGAGGCAGCCGGGGCTTTTTACTTGGAAGAAAAAAAAAAAAAAAAAAACTGAGCCGAGAATCGACAATCGAATGTTACGCATACGCCCCGGAGGGCAGCTGTTGGTCGCTGTTGACTGCCGGAGCTGCGCATGCGCAAACATCGGAGTCAGTTGGCTATAACCCCGGCTATTCTCGGCCCGATCTGCCAATCGATATTTCACGCTTTGCCGCATTTATTTGGCTACTGGGAGGAGCCACTAGTGCGGCAGATTAGTGTCAAGATTTGCATACGAAATCGTATGTCTGCCAGGTGCGTGTGTCGCCAATTTGGTAAGAGTGTTGCCAAATTTGGCCAATTCCGTTGAGCTCATGAATCATTTCTGTGACACGGCACGGTGGTGATGTGAATCACTTTGAATGCGATTAGTAGTCGCAGATCCAGATATAGATATGTCGCTGCCTAATGGCTGGGAAGTGGTTAAAGGGTATCCTTAGCTGATTTATATCACCTAAAAAGTGCTGTTCGACACTCAAAGGTGTGTTCAATTTAAATTTAAATTTAAATTTATACTGGTAATAGTGGTTCCTTTACCATTCCCTGAAAAGTTCATTAGATGCGTTGCAGGAAAGCTTTTTGTTTGCGCATCGAATGGCTCGTCTTATCCAAGTCTCAAACCAATGTCTTTTGGGGTGACCATACTTGAATTATGGGAGTTCAAAGTTTTATTTAAAAATTTTCCGTTGTTTAAAAAATGTTTAAAAATTATTTAAATAATAATTCGATCTTTAATAGCATGCATTTCTAATCTAAATACCTCATAAATTAGAAAATTGCACCTCTATATGGTTTTTCTTGTAAATAAAATATTTAACAGCTTAAAAGTTATTTAAATAATAATTTTATCTATTACCGGAAGTATTAATTAAATTAGCTAGCTAAATTTACTAGCTCTTTACGTTGTAAATATTCAGAAAAGTACAAATTTATGGCTTAATCATTATGTATTAATAGCTTACATTTTTAATATTAATGGGAAGTACTTCGAATTTATGGCATGTCAGCATTAGGTTGGAGCTTATACATATAACTTAATATATATAATGCTCTCAAACAAACATAACACTACCAACACACAACTTTATGCTTCAGTTCGCGGGTGGTGTTAAATATCGTTTTACTTTTTAAGACTAGTTTATAGCCAACTAAGGGTTGAAAAAGTGGTTTCAAGGCATGAAATTTAATATATTGTAATCATATAGTTGTCATCTGTAATGAATTAGGAAGTGCTTTGAGTGCATATAAATTTAATTTAATATTACCTGACAGTTACAAGAGTTTTCTTTTAATTAAAAACCTATAACTAGAAATACAATTTTTATACCCTTGCAGGGTATTATATTTTCAGTCAGAAGTTTGCAACGCAGTGAAGGAGACGTTTCCGACCCTATAAAGTATATATATATTCTTGATCAGCATCAACAGGGGAATCTTTCTAGATATGTCCGGAAGAAATCGATTTTTTGGCCATTTTTGCAAAATTTTATAAGGGGTTACATCATTAAAATTTTTGATTTTGATAAAAAATTGAATTTTCAAAATTTTTAAATGAAGTATGCAGATCTATTAACTGTAGAAAATCATGCACAGAACAGTTTTCCGATTTAAAATTAATGCTCTTTTGGCCGAGTTATGATATTTTTAATTAAAAAAAATCAAAAAGTTTTTTAATATAAAAAATCCGATTTTATAATACAAAATAATATTTATCTAAGTCAAGGAATCATTTCCGACCCCATAAATCATATATATTCTTGATCAGCATTAACATGCGAATCTTTCTAGAAATGTCCGGAAGAAATCGATTTTTTGGCCATTTTTGCGAGATTTGATAAGGGGTTACATCATTAAAATTCGCAAAAATAGCCAAAAATTTTGATTTCTTAAAATTTTCAATTTGGTATGCAGTTTTTTTAAATGAATAAAAACTAACAAAAAACTGCTTTCCGAATCGAAATTAATGCATTTTTGGCTTAGTTATGATATGGCCAAAGTTAGCTTTCTTTCTTGTTTTAAATAATTAATTTATATACTTACTTTTAGCCCTACAACTTTTATAAACTAGAAAAAGGGAGGGGAGGGGAAGAAGGGATTATCTTATATAGCTCACAGCAAGCAAGTCAGCTCAACACCTTTCTATTTTCCTTAGAAAATAACAAAAATGTTAATCAGGTTCAGTAATCTCCAATTGCTTCTCTAATTTTATTGACATCCTTTCCCATTTATCTTTATGGGATATCTGTTTTTCTAGTTATGACAACACACTCTCTGCCAAAAGGCAACGTCATCAATTAAACTGCATTGTGCTCAGGCGGTCGCGCCCTCAAAGAAATCCGAAAAAAAGGGCAAGCTGCTAGTAAAAGCACACCGAATGCGTGTGTCTGGCTGCCTGTCTGCCGACTTTTCGAAGGATTCGCAAAACAAAAAAGAAAAAAAAAACTAAAAGGGAGAAAGGCAGGGGCTTCCCCAGGAAGCGAAGCAACAACAACAACAAAAGCACTGCTCTGCCGACAGAGGCAGCAGCATCTGCGCCGCGTCGCTGCCCTTGCGTTCAGTTGAGAATTTTTCAGTACTTTTTTTTCCAGAACATTGGCACTCTGGCGAAGAAGCCTCGGTCGGCACTGGCCACAGGCACAGTCGTTCCTCGGCCGAGCAACCGTCTGCATCGCGCGCAGCTCTCGAAGCGATTTCGATTTCGAATCCCACAACGAACCCTTTGGCCTCCTCGAAGGATACAGAGCATTCACCACCACCCAGGCGCCACTCAGTCGCAGTCCACATCTCGCACAAGGATTCCAGCGAAAAACATTCCAAGGCAGCCATGTCAGCCGTCCCGATGAAAATCCTCCTGGCCGGAGTATTCCTGCTGGCCAATGCCTGGCACATCACAGGTGAGATGGATTTTTCAGGAAGCTGTATGTCGATCGGTTGGTAAACATAAAGCCGCACAAGCGGGGCATATTTTTCAAAGTTTTTGCAAAGAAAATACACCGAAAAGATTTCAACTTTTATGATCATTTAAAAAGTTCGTGTGAAATAAAGTAATCCGTGGTGATTTTAAATCTATAAATATTTTTTTACCTGTGCAAGGGTATAAATATGGAAAATATTTAATTTTAACAAAGTGCTATAAACGTGCGACCTAGATATCTGACAAAATATAATAAATCTGATTATTAAATATGAAATATTTAATTAACTAAAATAAAATGAGATAACTACAGATTCTTATAAGTTGTAAAAAGCTAAAATGTTCAAAAACAAATAGAAAACTTTCCTTTTATGGCATCTTTAAAATCTGTTTATAAACGGCGACTTTTGAGACTCTTTTAATTAATAAAATACATACAATAATTGTTTTGATATAAATTATACATTTTCCCTGTAAATATCAAATGATCAACAACTAAAATTTCTTTCTGTGCACCTGTAATTTTATCCACCCCCTCAAGGTCACCGATCCGCATTAAGTTTTTGAGGTGTGATGGTTTTTCTACTCAAAGCCCATGAATGAAATTTGTTTCCCATTTCGCTAAACATTTTGTTTATGTAGTTCCCGCCAGCGATTTTACGAGTTTCCCTTGCGGTGTTTATGAAAAAAGAAAATAAGACTAAAAAATATTCTTTTATTTGCTGAGAAATGCCTAACAACTAATAAGAGTTTCAGGTGGAAACCATTAAATGTTCTTGGCACATTATTCTTATGTTATTAGTGAGTCAAAATTTGTAGATTTATGGACGACACTTTGCTCAGCACTCAAAATGATGAAGGTGAAAGCCAATTTTGTTTGTCGTACACAAATTAATATCGAATGGGGCCGGGTTATAATGAAACATTAATGGGACTTAAATATAGAAAGAGCTCATCTGTTTATTTTGCTGGCGAAACACGTGTGGATAGAGCGAAGACAATTGAAGATTGTTTTTAAAAGAATTATGATTTATTATTGAAGATTGTATTTGAAAATAGAAAAGAGATATGTTTCACCTAACTAGAAAAGATTACTTACATTTGTTGCTTATATTTGTTGTAATTTGGATTTTGATTTGGAAATATAATGAGGTAAACATTATAATATATTTTATTAGTTCTTCAAATCCGAAATATATTACAAAATCATTGTAAAATCAAGAATATTTATTAACCATTCGAATATTCATTTAACTTCTTTCTCATGGAATAGTTGCAGATATCTTAAGCTATTCTTTAATCATTTTTCTAATGAATATATTGAATATTCAATAAGAATTTTCTGATTTAAATTCTTATTTACTCTGTCGGCATTCTTCCTTATTATATATTTTTATTTAAGGAAATTTCGTGGGTCATTGCTTCTTTGATGAACATCGCTGAATGCACCTATATTTATACACATGCATTCGCATTTGGGTGATTTTCACGCTTTTCTGTGATTGGCAACCTGCACGCCTTATAAATACAAATATTCGACCGACTGCCAGACATTTCAATATTTGTTTCCACAACCATTTCGGCGCGGTTCACTCGATTTCCCAAACAGAATGTAAAACGCCAAATGCAGTCCGCTCCGCTGAATATTTCTGAAATGCTTCTAATGATGATGATGATGGTGGGGGTGAGGGAGAACTGTGATTGGGTCACTCAATGCAGCTTCCCTGTTGCTCTCAATTAGCCCGCTCGGGTATCCTGCAATTATCTGATTGCTTTGTTTTTGCTTGGCTATCAATCTGGATTTACGCCGTATCCTGGCGGAGACTGCGCATGTCAGAGTGGCGCCAGAATGTCGCCTGCTCCAGTTTCCCGCTGTCTTCGGCATCTGATGGCCGCATCCCTCCACTCCCCCAGAGTCCTGGATGTGACAACCCCCGGGTTTTGGTTGTATGGAAACTATGTCAGAGCCTGGTCGCCTTCCTCGGGGGTTACTTCTCAGTGGCTCCTGCCCCTGTTCAATGGCATGAATTGCGTAATTTTCACAAACTGATAATGAGTATAAATAGGGTTTGGGGTCGCTCTTCCAGTCAGGAAGCGAAGATTGCCCTGACACACATCCGATCCGTATCGTATTATATTTGTTATTCTCGCACGACATCTTTTACGGGGGCTGTTACATAGGGGTTGCAAGTTTCAAATAAACAAGAAACGAGAAACAAAAAACAAGAAGCAAGTGGAGTGCAACTTCCTCCCGGCAAGTCTCAGCTTTCAATTTGCATTGAGAGCCGCTCAAGGGAAGCCATACCAAGTCTCACCATGTGCGTGACCTCAGCGAATAGCTCCTCCGGAATGCTAAGCGCGGGCGTTATAAAACCCTCAGGCCACGACCTTGGTGTGCCGATAAATTACACTTGAAAAAATTTTACAGCACCTAAAATGGGTGTTGAATAAATGTAATCAAAAAAGAAAGAATGCAAGAATTCCAAGGGCATTTTTAAGCAATATCTTTTTAAAAACTAAAGTATAGCTGTAAATATTTCAGTGTTTTCCCTCTTATAAAAACGAAAATATTTTTAATAGAAAAGAAACAATTATCTTTTCAGTGTTAGGCCCAAAAAAAACAACAATCAATTACTCACACTTTTAAAAGGTAAAATTCGCCAATTCCTCCAATTACCTGAAATTGTTCTTGAAATACCTGAATAAAGGACCCAAACAAGGCTGGGAAAATGAATATACAAACGGTCTAAGGCGGATTTTGCATATGTCCAGTCGATGTGGGGCAGCAACACACGCCCGGCCAACCCACAAGCCGCTTACATGCCAAGGCCACGGCATTGGGAGGCTTTAAAACGTATACGTAATATCGCCAGCTCTGGCGTAATAATATAATTTAGCAGAGAAGCTTCGCAGAAAAATATAAAGTATAAATGTGTTACCGTCAATATTTGACAGCCAACACTCCTCCAGTTGGAACGAAACCCCTTCCCAGAGCTCTTTTGTCTTCAAGGTGGGGGTCTTGTGGCATGTTTACCTTTTACTGTGGCAGAAGGCAAACAAGGCGAGTCCCGGTTGCCATCCTTTGGCACCTTTCACTTTCAGGACATGCAAAATTGCGCCAAGGACACAGCCGGCGATCTTGATTCACTGTCAGGCCAAATCACGCAACCTTATCACCATCAACCCAATTAGAGAAGAATTCCCCACCACCTTTAACTTCCAATCAACTAGCTCTCGCACTAATTAAATCATTCTAAATTCTACATAAATTCTATAAATAGCCTAAAATTCTATGCTTGAGGCGGGCAAATTAAATTAGAAGTGTGAAGCGATTGCGGTGAGCACAATGAAAACAAACTATATTTGAAAGAAAAATAAACAATGAGCACAGAATGAAATATGTATATATATCAGTCAGGAAAGTTATGAATAAGTTTAATTAAATTTAAAACTAATTACCTAAATGAATTGAAACCGAAAGAAGGGGAATGAAAAAAAGAAAGGTAAACATAATCCCAAGTGATACTAAAATTGGAAAATTTATGGCACAAGATCAATCAGACAGCGAGACATTAACTATGCCTTTTAATCGAGAGGAAATAATGTGGGGTAAACAATGTTTATTCACAAGATTTGCCCGAATTCGAATCACAGCTTTCTATATTAAATACAGTGGAAAATATTCTTTAAAAATAAAATTCATTTTAAAAACTAACTATAAACTATAAAAACTAACAAATTAGTTTCATATAATAGACTCCCCTCGTTAAACGTACAAATTAAAATAATGTGTGTCTTGCTGATTATAATTTTAATAAACCATTAAATCTTGGTGATGTGATTTTAATGCAAACCCACTGGGTTCTTCCAGTTCTACGTTAATGTACCTCCCATCCAACCTCCCAAAAGCTTCCAACAAATTACCCAGCATTTTATGAGCACGGACTTGGTTGCGTATACGTAATAAAATTCGACTGTGGCGCCACGTCGACTGGCCACGCATTCTCCAATCTCGCTTTTGCACATTCTCGCTGTGGGCGGCACATGAAAACTGTGATGATGTCAACCCCTGGCAATGAGTCCTTGTCGGGGGAGGGCACCAAGAGTCGAATGAAAACTGTGTCATCCCCTGTTATTTTTAGTCGGCAAACAAAGTTTATTTTTTGCTTGATTGTCTGACTGCCAACTATTTGCCGGTGACCCTACGAAAGGTCATCAGGAGTTTGTTCTACTGATGGCATTATTTTTTCCCTATAAATATAAATTTAAATCCTCTCTTGCAGCTGTAAACGAGCAGCATCATCAGCGGCAGCAATTGGAGTGCTGGCATTGCAGCTCGGACACCATCGGGTCGGAGGACTTTTGTGATGTGACCTTCCAAGAGGACAACATACCGACGGATCTCATCAGGGAGCGGAACATCAATCTGCTGAGGAGCTGCAACAGCACTATTCATTCCGATCACGAGAGGCCAGTGTGTCGCAAAACTGTGGAGGAGAGTGAGTTGGATTAAATTTATTTTAGAATTTTCTTGAGGAGAAAATATAGAAAACAATCCAAAGATTGTATTAGTATTCTCTTCGCTATACCTTTATATGTCTCTGCAATATTCTTTACAAATATTTTTATTAAATTTTCAGACAATGGCAAGGTGATCACCAAACGCTTCTGCTATTACACCAACAAATCAGATCCCGTGGAGCTGTGCAACATCACCAGTCCGGAGAAGAACGTGCGGCGGATATTCTGCGAGGACTGCCTCACCGATCGCTGCAACGGAGCTTATATGGGATCCTCGCTCATGGAGTTCGCCCTGCTCCTGCCCATGCTGGCCCTGGTCCAACAGTTGGCCAACTAAGTGGCACGACAGCCTCTTTAGACGCATCTCCGTATTGTATTTTAGTTGGAACGTGATATTTTGCCCGGTCCCAAGAATGGGGCCGAGCTGTTGCTGATTAACGACTTACGTTTAGTCCTCGGTTTAAATTAGTTTAGTTTCGGGCCACTAGAGCCCCCACTCATTAAGCTTAAATTCATATATGTTGGTTTCCAATTTGACGCCAAGCTCAAAGCCCCTCAAAATAAACCCCTAAATTTCAACTAAGAAAAAACAGTAATCAGTTGGGAATAAACTCAGCCCAAGCACAGTAAATACTCACTAATAGTCTATGTACAACATGATATTTTAATGTAAAGAACACAGGCATTCACCTCTATATGTAATTATAGCAAATTCAAATCAAGGTACTTAAGCACTCGAACAGATGCACCGAATAAAGTTTACACAACTGATTAAGGCTTTTCATTAATTTAATTTAAATGTATTTAAGCAGCTCAATTATGGCACCCACTAGGCGTTGGTTGGTGGGTTGATCCAGGCCCGAATAGAAGTCGTCTAACTGGAAACTCTGCCACAGCTTGGCCATGTAGCTGTTGAATTCCACACTCTGTTGACCGATGGCTTTGTAGCGATCATAGAGCATTAGTTCGGCGTGAATCATTGTCACATATGACTCCCGATTTCGAGCGATGTATAGCTGGTAAAATAGAGCAGCCAACTTACTGATACTCTTCAAGTTATAGATCTTTCGCAGGACCTTCTGCAGGATCCTCTCCAGTTGAACTGGCTTGTACAGGCAGTGCAGTTTCTGCGAGTGCCTCCCAATCGCCATCTGCCATTTGCCTTGATCATGTTCTTCGGCCTCCAGAGCTTCCTGAAAAAGTGCCGTGGTATTCAGAATCTCCAGATGCTCCCGGATATTCTCCCTTATGAGCTGAGCCTGCAGGTTGTGGCGCAAAGTAACGTTTCTCGCCGGCTTGCAAATCACATGTTGCAGTGTCTCCTGTAAGCTCTCAATCTTGCCAACATCCCTCGGATAGTCGGCCCTCAGCTTGCCCCAAGTGATCGCCACCAGGGACAGCTGCTCGGAGACGCTTCCATTGAGATTCTCGATCAGATCTAGCATTCGCCTGTTGTCGTAGCTGACGACTTGAGTTCCTAGCGCGGCAATTGCCGGGAAAAACAGCAGCGGAATTATTATGACAACTTTACTCAGCATCTCGCGGGTTGAAACGGCACTGAATCACAGATTGAAGCTCAAACAGCTGGGTTATCGGCGATCTGAGCTTATCAGCAAGGCTGTACCACAAATCTCTCTCATGAAAAATGAATGGAAAAAGCTACTACAAGCAACGCGCAGTGTACATCAGTTTCTTTATTATTAAAATTGTTATTTTGAGATTTAGTTTCCTTAAAACAGTTTTGGCCTTATCATCAATTGGAAGACGACTTCTAGCAGAAGAAAGTTTATTAGTAAAACCGCACAGTAAGACTTCATTTAACTGACTAAATCAGTTCCATTCAGAACCTAATCTTATAGCTAGAGTTGGAGAGGAAACATTTCATCAGTGAAAGCATCTCTTTGCACGGGGAACATTGATACTGAAGCAGTTTTCTTAGAAAAATTTAATGTCTGACTCAATGGAAATATATTATAATTATCATTCATCATTTTGTATTATTACCATGTGGACTTAAATATAAAGAAAGCTATAATGCCTTGCTTATGTCGTTAATCCATCAAACCCCACAAGTCGTAGCCCACAAGCCGACATGGAAATGAAGGCTCCCATAGTTTGTGTCCATCCCCCAAAGTGTGTGTGCTTAGCCACTTGTCACACTAATCCGTACCGACACTCGGATAGCCATAGAAGTTGAATCCAATTAGTCGACCTACATGCGAGACAATGCAACCCTCGTGATAGGATATCCTGCCGTTGCCGTTGCCGTTGCCTTGCTCCTCTGGCCCCATCTTCAGACCGAATGGCCGGCAAACAGCTGGCCCCTTCTAATTAAATTTATGCAAATTATTCAATGTCCTTGTTGGTTTATGTCGCCTCCCAACCCTTTGCCTCATTAAGTTTCGATCGTGCTCAATGAGATAAGACGAAATCAAATCGAATTCGACGGCCTCGTAAGTTTGTTCTAAATTCGATGACATACTTTTGGGCGGTTGTGCAATTCGGTTGCCGGAAATTGAGCAGTGGATGGAAAAAGTCACTCAATTTGAGTGCATTTCAGGGGAAAAATCATCTTTCTGAGTTTGTGAATTAGCAAGTAAATTCTGTCACATAGAAATGACTTTATTTTGTTTTGGCATTGTAAACAACACTTTAGAGTATCAGTGTTAATAAATCTTTTGTTTCTGACTCACACATGACATTATCACTTCCAAGTGATCTTCCCTTGTTTGAGTATCTTTACAGGAATTTTCTAGTAAGGAGAACACTTTGTAAATAAAAAAAAAAATTCCAATGATGAATAAATGTTTAAAATCATCAAATGCATAAGTTGTACAGCAATTTTACTTTAGTAACTAACAAATACTAACTATGTACATCTCGCATGAACAAAAAACACACAAATATCTTGTGTATCAGCCAAATGCAAACTGCATGCATATAAAAAGCCCCATTAAATGATCAACTTAGACCGCTGTCCAAACAACAACACTTCAAAATACACAAGCCCACTCTGTTCGAACCGGTTTTCTAACCCCAAAAAAGAAAACGACAAAAAATCCAAATACCGATAACCTAGGCCTGCATTTACATTGAGCCAAAATGTTCACTCAAAGCCAACTGGCTTTGAGTCTGGCGCATTTTGAGTCTGAAACTTTTGAGTTGCTCAAGTTGTTCGGAGATGAAGGCACTGTGGCGGCGGCTGTTGCCACTACGCTTTCAGACGTGCAGCAGACTTCGTTGACGGCGGTTCATATTCAAGCCTAAACTCTAGCAATCTTTAATATTCGAAAAGTTAATCTCCGACAACCAAGTTCTAATCAAGATGGTGTCCGCTTTGAAATGCAGTTTGGCCGTGGCCGTTATGATCAGTCTGGCCTGTTCGGGTGCGTTGCATTAGAAAGTGTTTTTCGAATCGCAAGTGGTAACGAAGGAAACGGTTAAGGAGTTCAAGGAGTTCCCAGCCTGTTCCTTTGCGAAGAAAACCTATTTTTTGTATATATTCATTTTGTTGAATATATTTTCTAATCAATTACCACGCTTTAATCTCTGTAGCTTATGCCATCAAGTGCTATCAGTGCGAATCGCTCACATCACCCAAATGCGGTCTGAAATTCGAGGCTGACGACAATCTGCTGATCGATTGCTCCCGGATTGGACCCCCTCGATACCTGCAGAACTTCTTCCCCCTGCGCAACGCCACTGGCTGCATGAAGAAGACCCTTGAAAGTGGTAAGAAAAAATATGTCCAGACAAACTATCACAGAACAATAATCACTAAAGAAACCTTTTTTATTTATTTATTTATAAATATACAAGATAAACTTGAAAAAGCTTATTTAAAACGCGAAAATTATATTTTCAAGACAACTTTTCAAAATTAATATTAAAATAATTTGATACTTTAGACCTCGGCTTGTGATATGTTCATTAGCAATTATTTAAGAAGTGATACAACTTTTAATAACTTAAGCTAGACCATATAAAGTTTGACTTTCGTTAGCCTTTTAACTCTATATGTGCCCAAATTTAAACCCTGAAAAAGCAGACAACACCTGAGATCATCGCAGGAAATGGGTTATGTATTTAAACTCTGATGTCATGCGTGAATATTTTACTATCGTTTCTGTTTCTGCGATGTTACCTTCCTTTCCACTTCGACGTGATTTTTCATCACGTTTCTCTGCGACTTATTTTCGCGTAATTACATCAAAGTAGCAGCTTAATTCCGGTTGGTTAGAAAATAATAATGGCGGTGACGAGTTAAAGATTGAATGCCGCAATCTTTTCGCTCGCTCAACAAATTTACATATTTGTTTTTTGATTATTTTCTCATAAATATTATAACGATCATAAGTTATAGTCTTAAAATTAATTTATGGCAGCAAATCGAATGGCGAATTTGCGGTGAAAATTAATTTAACTTCAAAGATGAGATCATAAAAAACAGACAGCTGTTATTTGCCGCCTTTGTGTTTTTTTAACCGCTGGGTGGAACCAATTGTTATTCACTGTTTACCAGAGCAATTGGGTACAGTGGAGTCATACAACAATTAACAAGTGCCCGGTTTTAGGGGAACAATCGGTTCATTTAGCAATCGCCGCCAGCGAAAGCTGTTTGCCCAGTTACTCATCCGCCCAAAACCTTTGCTCTTAATTTCCCCCTTTTTAAATAATAAATATTAATAATTATTTTCTTATTTGAATAGTGGCTGGACATCCACAGATTGTGAGGACCTGCTACTTCGGTGACATCAACAACGTCCAGGGTGGCTGCCAGTCGGATCCCTCGCTGCCCTTCGTCAAGCAGCTGGGCTGTGATGTCTGCACCAAGGACGAGTGCAACGGATCCGCATCCTTGGCCCCCGTGGCCGGAGCCATCCTGCTCTTCTTCGGCGTCGCCCGCCTGCTGGCATAGATCTTAACTATTTAGCTTGTAATTACCCTTAATTCCTTGTAGCATTTTCCATTTTCATTTCCAACGCTCAAGGATCATTAGTTGGTTAAATTCTGTTTAAATTTAAATTTGTAATAAAAAGAAGGATAGAAGTTTATCCCAAGCAACATGCCAAATACTTATTGTGGTTTTTATTTATTTAGGGATAAATAATAATAATTATTTACAAGGTATTATTTATGTAGTAAAGGGTAGAATGCTTGGAAAAGGAAACATTAAATAAGTTGATTAAATTTTTTAAATATAAAAATTAACAATAATATGCTAATTTTTGATTTTTATTGGAAATGGCATTTTAAATGATTAATAATTATTAATATAATTACAAATAAAAAATCAAATTTAATATAAAATGAATAATTAAGAAAATTATGCTTTATTGAGTATTTATTTTTAATTTAAAAGTGGTTTTTATCACAATTTTAAATGTCTATAAATATGCAGATTTCCCAGTAGTTTTCATCATGCAAAAAGTATTTTTAAAATAACATTTAGCTTATTTTATTAATTTATAATATGACTCATTTGTGGGAACAACCTTCGGCGTGCCGAAATTAGCTTCCTCTTGTTCATATTATTTTTTTATGAGTTTTTGTTTGATTTTCTAGTAAAAAGTAAATGAGCTTATTCAAACTTCACGTACTATTTTTATTTGCTTACATTATTTGTAATTTCCGGCTAACCCTTTGTGCTGTGAGTAACTTCCTAGTAATTTTACTTAAACTAGAAATTGATAACAGACCCTTACAAATTGCGATTTGTACGGAACACATCACAGGTAGCGTCGTGAAATAATCATATATTTTCATACAAAGGTTCAATGACTCAGAACTCAAGACCGAAACCGAATTTGAATCATTTTATTTACCTGGCGAGTGTGAAACACCTGGGAACTAATTAGTATGTGCACCCACATGGGCAACCAAAAATTATGTATGTTCAGACAAAAGGTCTACCGATTCCCCCTTCCGATGCGGGAAGTGGGATTTATGCTTGTCTGCCTGCTTAATCACATTTAATTGAGTTCAATTTCATTTGCAAGTCAAGTTCCAGTTCCAGCAGCATTTCTTCAACCCTTCGAATTTGAGTTTACAAAGTGTTAAATGCAGTTCATCAGAGTTCAAGAAACTCGGGGTCCCCAGATCCGATCTAAAAGAGAACTCGGATGGAATATATGTAGCATCTGGAGGAACACCACCCCCGCTTCACTGTCCGTCTGCGACAGTTCAATTAACCCAAACTCATTTAGCATAATTTTGAAAAATTACTTAATTGAAGAAAATAGAAATTTGTGGGAAAGCCACTTAACCGAGTGTCCGTCCATGTGCTGGCGAGATTAGGAAACCCAATACTGGCAGGCTTCAATAAATAAAACAATTCCAACTGGGCGTTGAAATGCCTGCTGACCATATGTAGGGTAGCTAATTAAATGTACAAACCAAAAATGTGAGGGGGAAATAATTAAGAAAGCATTAAGAAATATAGAATTTTTACAAGTAAATGAGATTGTTGTTAGCTTATAATCTTTGTAAAGGCTTTTAGAAAATGTTATCAAATTAAGTTTTACTGTAATATAATATTAAGTTTTCTATAAAATGAATCATTTTATTATTAAAATTCCTGCTTTTATTAATGAAAAATATTTGTATTATACTTTAAAGAACGTTTATTTTGTTTTACTTAACTATTTTAGATAGAAATATGCTTGTAGGGATTAGTGATCAAGCATCTATGCTTTCTGTAGTATCCCCAAAGGGCCCCAGCTTGTGTCGATGATATATCAGCGATCATCGTTGGGTGACAGCCTCTGGGCGTTGTTAATTGTTGTGATTTGCACAACAATGAGAACGGAGAAGTTAATATGTATATACGAGTTTGTTTCAAACTGCGCATTAGAATCGGAAAGGCAAAAAGGCGAAGCACAATTGCCAACTGGTTTCAAGAGCCCCTCGAAAAGCCAGCAAAAACGATGACGCCACATAGCAAAAAACAGACTCAAACATTAAAAAGGGCTTACATAATTCTTAAAAAAAAAATTTATTAAAAATAAAGCAACGTATTGCTTTTTCGACAAATTTTGGGTGCGACGAAATTGTCTTCTACGGAGTGCCGAGAGCGAAATGAAAATAAATAACGAGCCAAAAACGGCTGACATCACCCCAAACAAGTCGGCAAAAATTCTTGATATTTATGTACAAAAATACGTGTGCTTATGTGTGTCAAACGATGGGAGAAAAACAAAAAAAAAAAACCAAAACATTGCGCCAGCTTCTATACAAATTCGAATAAAAACAGAATTCAAACACGCAACGTACATATGAGAAATCACTCAAAGCGAGCTGTCACGAGTGAGCTCTGAGCGGAATGGCGAGTGGAATCTCGAGTGGAAACCGGAGTGAGATACTGTGGACAATGGGCTGGACGCTTCTGGCATTATTTCAGACCCGGCTGCCCACAAACGCTCGCCAGTCGCCGTGCCGTCAAGGTCTGTTCGAAATAGTATTCTCGAAAAAGTAAATTTTTCAAAATAAGCCAAGTGAAAATGGTGTCGAGTGTAAAGCTTTTCCTGGGCCTCACGGTCCTGGCTACTCTGGCCTCCACGGGTATGCAAAATTCCGGTACTTCCCTAACTTCCAGAGTCAACAGATCATCGTTTTTTTAGGGTATGCCATCAAGTGCTATCAGTGCGACTCGATCACGAATCCCAAGTGCGGCGCGAAGTTCGAGAAGGACAGTAGCTACCTGCTGGACTGCGCCAAGATTGCCCCGCCGCGGTTCCTGCAGAACTTCTTCCCAGTTCGCAATGCCACTGGCTGCCTGAAGAAGGTCTTGGACACGGGTAAGTCTGATCAAGATAATGATCTCATCGCAGTAAATCGATCGCCTACGCACATTTGAACAGTGCTCAGTTAACCAATTAGCTTGATTAATTTTAATCAGACACAAGACGGGGGCTTGGAACTATAAGACACTAACTTTATGGCAAAGTAAGGTTTCAACAGTTTTCCAAAAATAACTTTCACCAAGTCTTTCCGGCTTAAATATTCACTTTTTAAAGCAAAGAAAAAGGTTTTCTTGGATCAGTGAAAGCAAAATATATACAGCATATAATTCATTAGTAAAACTAATTATGTTTCTGAAGAAGAACTGATATTTTAAGATGTGTAAAAGTTTTTATTTTCAAGAAATTATGTACTAATAAATCAGTTCATATCGATAGATTATTGGAGAATATGAAAATAAAATGTATAGAATAATATTTTTCATTTACAAATTAAAAGCTGAATGTTTTAAAAACCCACCAAATATCAAAATGAACATCAAAGCAGCACACATTACCATGAAGTATATTTAGAACTGCTCAAAATCCATGAGAAATATTGGAAGACTTCCAGTTTAAGATATATATTATATGTATTACCTTCAGATAATGGCAGCCCATCCCTAATTTATAAAGGAAGTGTATTCTTCGTCAGAGTCAGAGATAAGGCTAATCTGTGTGTTTACCATGTTTTCAAAGTCATTGTTTTTCAATCCTTTATTGAAATCTCAGTTCTCCAAGAAGCACTCTCCCTTTCACATTTACGATAAATGAATGCTACTGTATAAATATGTACATGCACGCACCCAACCCAGGGGAGATTAGCCCTGTCCCTCAAGCAATCCCTTCGCTCCATTATAAATTCATCGTGAACAATGGATATTAATATCAGAAGTATTCAAGTCATTTGTTTAACATTTTCAGGCAATTTGTTTGATTGCTGCCCAGCAATAAAATATTCCCCAAGTGTACTATAGTTCTCGTTTGTTTTCTGAATAATTAATGCCAGCAGTTTTTTACCAAGTGATTTCCCATAGATTTCTCTGGGGGATCGGAGGAGTATTTATGCTCGGTGACCGCAACATTGCCGCCGACAATTGTTTGTTAATTGCATTAACATTCAAGCTACGCCTCACTTCTCATTGCAAAAAAACAAAAAAAACACACTCAGACTGGGGTGAGCAAAGGAGTGGCAGCTGTAATTAACTCACTGACATATAGTCACCCCACAAATTAGTCACAGCTATTTCGACCTGTACTTGTGCGATGCTCTAGATATTAATTGTATGAGGAAGACGAGAAAATGTTCTCTATATGGGCATAAAAAATTATTAATTAAGGAAGTGGGGGTGGAACTCATTAAAAAGAAATAGTAACTGGGCATAACAAAGACAATAGTAACGAGGAAAGACCTTCATTTGTTAAGTTTTTTTTAAAAAGATGAATTTATTTAGGCATATTTTCGGTTTAAGTAGGTGACATGAGATGAGAATCAAGAACAAATGAGGCCTAACTAAAAAATATCCGCCTTATAGAGGTCCCAAGCTCTTGTACATATGCATATCTTGAGCGGCTAGGAGCTTATATGTGATCTCCCACTAAGATAATAGTTTAGGAGGTTCTTTCTGTGGTGTTCACTTAGCTTACATTTTCTATATAATTTATGACTCTTGGTTTGTTTATCAATCTATCAAAGAAACGTCTAAAGAAACAATATATTATTCAACTATTTTCATTCTTTTTAGTTAACTATATTCTCATTTTATCGAGTTTTTCTGAGACGTTCAGCTAAGAAATTCAAAGCTTAATTAATTGTGCATGATCAATAGAAATATATTACTTGTCACAGATATATGTATGTACATATACGCAAGCCGATAAAAATAGAATGATTGATAGATGATTTCACCAATAAATAGCTAGCAATTAGAATTTTCCCTTCCGATTATCATTACTTTTTTAAAGCCTGACTAATTCCACCTGAAGCGTTTTCTGTCTTTGCTTGACTAGGTAATTAGGCTTTCATTATATTGCCTAGGAAACGTTAATAGCCATTTGAAAATAATTAAAGGGAAAATGTATACTTATTAGGCCAGAATGTAGAATAGGTCTGTGATTTATACGAGGAAACTAAGAGATCAAGGTAGTAAATAAAATGATAATAATAAATTAATACAGAAAATGTTAATAATCAAAATTAAACAAAGAAGATAAATGTCTAATTTTAATGTAATTTAAATAATTTTAATAAATGTTGTAGTTGCTCCTAAATTATTCTTACTTAAAATACTCTATTTAAACAATCAAATATAATCTCAACCCGTTTTCTCCACCCCTTTCAGTGCCCCAACACCCGCAGATCATTAGGAGTTGCTACTTCGGAGATGTCAGCAACACTCAAGTTGGTTGCCAAGACGATCCCTCGCTGCCCTTCTCCAAGCAGCTGGCCTGCGATGTCTGCACCAAGGACGAGTGCAACGGATCCGCCTCCTTGGCCCCGGTGGCCGGTGCCATCCTGCTTTTCTTCGGCGTCGCCCGTCTGTTGGCCTAAGGAAATATTTCGGCAGTGAATTTTAAACCTTCGTCAACATCGTAGTTGTTATGAGCTTTCTGCTTTAAATGGATCTATCTGCTTTAGTCACTTTGGAATCTCTGTTAATTGTTGTACACCACCTGTCGTGCCCTTTTTCGCAATAAAATCATTTTATTTATTTGAAATGGCCGTTTCCTTGATCGACCACTTAAGGGGGGGTTTTATGAGTGTTAATTTAATTAACTGTTGGTTTATTTGCGACGCTCCCAACTCATCAATAGCTACAAGCGAAAACCCTGTGCGTGCCTGGCCACACTCATTGGATTTTCCTCACCCACAAGAAATCTATTTTCCATCCATTTCTCTTTTCTACTTTTGGAACTCTCTTGGCCTGACGATAATAGAACTGGCAGCAAAGCTGAAGAGTTCTCTCTGTGATTTTCCTTGCACACTCCTAGTTTTTCCCCTGACAACCACCTCCAACGAGACCCCTTAGCAGCTCCACTCATGTTTGGGGGAAATGGGGAAAAGCCAAAGTAAAAAAGAAACACACAAAATGTTCATTAAAATTAGACAAATTAAAACGCTCAGCGATGACGCCAGGCGAAATGGCCATAAAGTTTTCCCGCACCGCACACAAAAAAATAAAAATAAAAGAGAACCGAACGGAAAAAAGAGAAAAGTGCCAAGGAGTTGAATTTGGAAAATGCTTTTGGCATTCTTTTAGTTCGATTTCGTTAGCGGCCGCCGACTGACGGAGCCGGAAAAAAAACGCCACAAACAATTCCGAAAACCAAAAAGAAAAATTGAAACTGTGCGAATCGCAAAGACGCGTGTTTACATTTAATTTCCCTACGTGCTTAGGCCAAACAAAATATGTAAAAGCCATTTGGAGGAAAACAAAATATACATTTATTTATTTTGAGGATATATATTAGAATATGCAGATATATAAAAGTGTGCGAGCGTGTTTTATATTTAAATAGCGTGTAGATAGCTTCAATTGCCGCGCCGAGTGACGACGAGTGAGTAGGGTTCTATAGTAGCTCTCAGCCTGAATAATTTTTCATAAAATCATTAAATAAAGACAATTTTGAAATTCCCAAAACGTTGAAAGCTGGAAAAACAAATTTCCAAATTTCAAAACAATGCGGCAGTATTTTCTTTTGTTTGGCGCGCTCATCTCGCTGCTGGCCTCAGGTTTGTTTTTGTTCTGTTTGTATTTGGATTTGGTTTTGGTATTCGTTTTGTGTTTTTGGACTGCCTTTGGCTGTCCCCTGTCTGATCTCATTTCTGCCATAAATAAGAGGCATCTCTCTGATCTTTTCATCTCCCCAATGCCATTAGCTTACGGCATCAGATGCTACGCCTGCGAATCCGTCTACGAGGCGAGCTGCGGCGAGGACTTCGAAGTGGAGAATCATTTCAAATACGACTGTGCCTTCATAGCCCCGCCGCGGTTTCTGGAGAACGATCTGAGTAGTCCGAATGCCACGGCCTGTTTGAAGCGGGTCTTCAGGGGTGAGTTTATGGGGAATCCAAGGGATTTTATGTGAAAAAAAACACATATTCTATAGGGTACAATTCACATTTTTCAACTTTTTACGAATAAAACAATATTATATCATTACATGTATATATAGAACAGGAAAGAAAGCTAACTTTGGCCAGCCAAAGTTTGTATACGCTTGCAGGTAACAATTAAAATATATCATAACTAAGCCCAAAATGCATTAATTTCGATTCGGAAAGCAGTTTTGTGTTAGTTTTTCTTAATTTAAAAAAACTGCATACCAAATTTAAAATTTTAGGAAATCAAAATTTTTTGGCAATTTTTCTAATTTTAATGATAACCCCTTATCAAATTTCGCACAAATGGCCAAAAAAAAATTTCTTCCGGACATGTCTAGAAAGATTCGCATATTAATGCTGATCAAGAATATATATGATTTATGGGGTCGGAAATGATTCCTTGACTTAGATAAATATTATTTTGTATTATAAAATCGGATTTTTTATATTAAAAAACTTTTTGATTTTTTTAAATTAAAAATATCATAACTCGGCCAAAAGAGCATTAATTTTAAATCGGAAAACTGTTCTGTGCATGATTTTCTACAGTTAATAGATCTGCATACTTCATTTAAAAATTTTGAAAATTCAATTTTTTATCAAAATCAAAAACTTTAATGATGTAACCCCTTATAACATTTTGCAAAAATCGCCAAAAAATCGATTTCTTCCTGACATATCTAGAAAGATTCCCCTGTTGATGCTGATCAAGAATATATATACTTTATAGGGTCGGAAACGTCTCCTTCACTGCGTTGCAAACTTCTGCCTGAAATTATAATACCCTGCAAGGGTATAAAAACAAAAAACGTATATTTTTTAATTATACTTTTACATCATTGGGGAGACACCCCAGAAATACTTGGATACTTAATCCCAAATGATTTGTGACGCAAATCATAATACATAAATATAATAATTAGCAAAATAAACTATGCATTATATTCCTGCTTATACAAACAGCTGTGGCCTTATTTCAAAAATATTCAAATATCGCGTAGATTGTCGTTGATATCCATCTTATTATCTGATATATACCCAGTAAACCATTTCATTAGCGGAAGAGTCGCCTTAGAGTCTTCTAGAAGATAGCTGATTGCTTTCCAATCTTCTGTTGGGAGAAAATGCGAATGCGACTCTTCTGAAGGAAGTCGCCGGCAGCTAATCTAAACGAGTCCTAGATGAGTCTTTTGAAAGAGTCGCGAGAGAGTCTCGCAAATGAGTAGCGTAAGAGTATTGTGGAAGAGCCGCTGAAGAGTTATTCGGAAGAGTGGCGAAAGAGTAGCGATGCTTTCAAAATCGACAAAAAATCGCCACCACGATTCCCAAAAGACTCTTCTTCGGGAAATTTCGTAAATAAGTCATACAGTTATCGCCACCATGATTCCCAGAAGACTCTTTTTGGAGATTTTCGTTATACATAAGTCCTCCAGCGATCGTCAAAGCAACTCCCAGATGACTCTTTCTGGCGAGCGACGATTCGAAAATCGCCAAATTGTTTGCAGGAATATATGTATAAGCCCATTAAACTCGAGCGTATAAAATGAATTTATTTATATTAGACCTGCCCGAAAGTAGACTAACAAAATGTTTATCTTCCGTAGAAAATGGCGTACGCAAGATCGTTAGAGGATGCTATTTCGGCGAGGTAAATGCCACTGATGTGGGTTGCCGGATGGATCCCACACTGACCGCCGTCCAGAATGCCACCTGTCATGTGTGCGACAACGAAAACTACTGCAACGCAGCGGATGCAGTGCAGCGTAATCCGGTGGACATGTGGAAAATCGCCTCCAGTATTTTATTGTTTCTCTTGGCTACACAACTCCTTTGATGAGATGATGGATGCAGGCCCCGTGGATCGAAGAAAATGCAAAATAAAAGGCACACATCATACACACCACCACACACAAAGCTTAGTTCAATTTAGATAGATTTTCCAGAGTTCCCAAGGCACATTTACCATGTAGTAGCGCACCAGCCATTTAGGACTAATTAGTCGCAGATCTGCCCCACTCTGTGTTAATGGTCAATCAGGAGGCAAACAGGGCGTATGAGCAACATTAGCTGACATGAGCCGAAAAGCTGGCAAACAAAACGCGAACGCTATACGAATAGAAAACTAATAAAAACTAATTTTACACAGAATGCCAAATTGTTTATTTGTACGAAATGCCACTAATGAACTTTTGCCTGCCTGCTGGCTGCCATCGTTGAAATAAATGGCTGCTATGGATATATGGATATGGGGAAGGGCGACCTGTATATATCTAGCCTCCTGGCTAACCACAATGTCAACACGGGGTAGTAGTAGTAGTAGTCAGTCAGTCAGTCAGTGTGCCACCAGGAAAATGCCAATGCGAATGCGAACGCTCACGAAGGAGGAGACGTGGAAAATCTGTGTGTTGTTTTGAAAATCAAATTCACATTCTGAATGTGATTGTTCGCTCGGGCGGTTCATTCAGTCTCAGTTCTGTTCAGTTTCAGTTCAGTTTCGGCTCGGCCCGTTTAGTCGCGTGTGTGCAACGCTTCGAGTCGGTGGTCGGATCGTGGCTATATAGCTGGCCCCTCTCTATATCTCGATCATGTGATTACGATCGGTCCGGCAGCTGTGAAGACAACATCTGTGTGCTCCGTGGCCGTATCTCTATAGCGATTGACTCAGCGGTACACCAGCGGACAGTGGGATCAACTGTTTTCGGGGGCGTACGATGCCGATTGCGATGCTGCCCCTACGTGCTCTTGTCTGTCTCTTTTTGCTCGTCACGCTGGCCAGCTCAGGTGAGCTTCCCAACCGCCTCCACGAACTCATCTCTCATTCCCACAAAAAATAAGGTTTTATTTTTAAGATTATGAAAGGTATTTTGCCTATTTTATATTCTTATCAATTCACTATAAACTGGTCTTTTAGCTAAACCCGTTCCCGTTTAGCTTTACAATAAGCCCAAGACTCTAAATGTATTCTTTTGTATTCGTAAACAGGGAATAAAAGTTGTATATTTATGAAATGAACTTTCTAAGAGGCAAACATTTAGCAAAAGTAAATTCTTATTGTTAAAATTAATAATATAAAAACAAAACTATACAAAAAGATAATAAAAGAATTAAAGAATACAAAATAAACTAAATATGAATGGTAGTAAATACGTTCACTTATCATTTGCATTTATAAAAATTTAAGTTTCCAATGAAATATGAATATGATCCATTGTTTATTTCCTATTTTTTTTATTGTGCGCTTGCGTTGACACACATATTTACGCATGTCGTCATCACCAGCGCGGGCCATTACCTGCTACGAATGCGATTCCGTCAATAACCCCGGGTGTGGGGAGCAATTCGCGAGCGATGACATAGCCACAACGGACTGCGAAGTGGTGGCGGACTTGCGAGCCCCAGGAACGGAACCTACCTGTCTGACCAAGTATCATGAGGGAGGTGAGAGTACATAATATATTGTATATATTTCTTTTTTGGGAAACTCACAAGATTTATTAATTTCCTTGGGCAGTGCCTGGACAGTCGCGTTTCGTGCGTCGCTCCTGCTACTACGGTGACTCCTCGCCGGCTGGCATGAACTGTGACGAACAGCCGGATCCTGTGGTGCCGTTCCTCACCTTTCTGGGCTGTACACTATGCAACACTGATCTGTGCAATGCAGCGCCCAGGGGAATCGCTGTCCCCGTGTCCCTATATGCTGCTCTTTCCACGTTTGGTTTGCTTGTATTACTTACCAACTAACGACCAGAGAATACTCTCTCTTCTTTTCAAAGTGTCCTATATTACACGATATAAACCATAGTATTGCATAACATATATCCTCAAAACACATCAAATGCGATGTATCCTATATACAAAACTAACCAGCTAAGAATTGATTAGATACAATGTAGTTTTTTTTTTTTAATTTTCATTTTATTTGATTTTGTTTCCGTTGGTTTTTTATACATCCACTAAAATGATTTAACATACATATATATTTATAATAATAATATAATTATTCTGTTTGATTTTAATATAATTTATTTACTGAATAAATTTTCTCGTCTCCTCTTATTTATCTTCGTGTGTGTATGTAGGCGTGTTTATTGTAATTAGACTTTATAAATTACAAAATATGCATAAATTAAATAAAAATAAAAATAACACACACTTGCTGTTTCTCTTAGCAGTTAATTATACTCAATATATACTTGTTGTTGATCTTCAAACACATTTCGATTTACATATATTTCCAGTTGCTTGTGTAAATTATTGTATGTGGGGTATATCATCATCTTAGCTGCGGATTATATTCGTGTCACTTGCTGGGCTACACATAAATAACATTCAAATATAAATATATATATGGATATTTTTATAGCAAGATATTGTATTTCAACTACACATTGAGAACAGTTCAGATAGAAAACAGTTTATGTACAAAAGATTTTACTTTTTCTCAACAGTTTTTTGTTTGTTTATTTGTTTTTTGCTTTACCAAATACTGTCCTTGTCGAGGGAGTCTCTCCTCAAAGCACAATCCCTTCTCTCCCAGCAGCACTCCGCGACAACTTAAGCTCTATCAACAATTATTCATATCATCAATTCAATCTGCGTGTACGAATTAGTCAACCAAAAGTACAGTAAAACTTATTATTTCTTACTATTCATCATTATAAATCACACACTCTGAAACAAATAACAAAGAGATTTGCTTTACTCAAATATTTTCGCTTTGCCTGGCAACTATTGGTAGTTGGGGGTTCGGTTATTTCGTTTGCCATATACTATATATATATATAATCCTGCACATATACATTGAATCATAGTAACAACAACACAGAGAGTTTTGTTTAAAACCTAAAGGCTATTTATCATATTTAGTTTGCTTTCCACTGCTGCTCTTCTTTTTCGGGGTCACAGATTGCAGGTGTAACATATAATTTCAGGGACAGTTTGATCTTCGGGTGCGGGATTTGTGGAGTACCAGCTCCGCAATTATGTTGTAAAGTGCTCTTTCTGCAATCTGTGGCTGGTCCTCCTAAATTTTCGTTGTGATTCTTTGAATTCCATTAACAATTCGCTTGAGTAGTGCAACGATCTCAATCGGCTATCCGAATCTGCAGTCGCTCAAAGGCCAAGTGGGAGATGTGGTGGAGATGAAGCGGAATGAACGGAAACACGCCATGTTTTCTTTTTTCATTTAAACATAAAAATTGACTAGAAAAGAGGTGCAAAAAATTTGGTGTGTAGGTGAGTGAGCAAAAAGAAAATTTCGTTGGAATGGAATCTTAAGATATTTATATTGATTGTTCTCCCGTTTTTGTTTATGTAGCCTTCAACTTGTAATACATTTCATCATTCGTTTTTCGCATTGAGATCAATTGCACATGGGGGGTGAGGGGCGCTCATTGCCTACTTTCCCTACAGTTCCTGACTTGGCACCTTGCAAAGCGACTACAAAATCGGTTAGTTTGTTGTATATTATCATTTTGTGGGCTATAAACTATATAGTACATATATCTGTAGTATCTTCTGAGCATATATCATGGTCGGCAACAGCACTAACTAATCGAAAGATGTTTGGTTTTTGCTTTATCTCTATATATATTTTGTTTGCGACCAATTGATTGGGAGACAACTTTTAGAAACATTCAAGTTTGTTTTGTTTTGCTTTGTTTTCTATGCAATTTACACAAGTTACACTTTCTTCTATACACATAGCAATAATAATTATAATAATATTAATAACATTAATAACGAATTCAGTCAAGTCAGTAAATTTGGTTTACAGAAAGAAAAAATACATACATAGTTTTAAACTAAATGAAATATTACAACGCTAATAAACAATAATAATAATAATAATAATAATAATGAAATTTGCAGCCCAAAAGTTTTCTGGTGTTTGTTGTGGTTTTTGCTTTCGATTCGTTTAAGGAATATTTTGTTTTCTCTGCTGCTTTAGAAATACATGATTTACATTTAGATATACACTTTTATAATATAATTCATTATGCATATATGCTTGTATAGTATATATATATATGTAAAGGGGTTATATAACAACTAGTGTATTGTAATTTCAAAGCTTTGCGTTTTGAAACATATGAACTCACAGAGTATTTCCATTATATAATATATAATTTTGTTTTCATTAACATTTAACATTTAACAAGCTTGCTGCTTGGCCACACTTTCGATACATGCATTTATAAATAAGCTTTTATAAATGTTTACACATTTTCTCATCTCGGTTTTATCATCGTCGGCATCCGCCATAACGGCGGAAACGAAAGCAATCTGCAGGTTCTTGAGTTGGGTATATAGGAAACGCGGGGGGAAAGGTCGAACAATTTGGCGCTTGGCTGAGCGAGCACTTGATCATCGGCGGGCAATATCTCGGTCAGACTGAAAGAGGAGTTTTAGATGCCCACAAAGCCATAGACCTCCAGTACACGGATCTCAAAGTCTCCCGATGGACACAGGGGCGGATTGTTGAAGGTCTTGCAGCTGTCCGTCTTGCCAAATCGTATATTCTCGTCCATCCAGATGGCCTGACCCTCGCTAAAAGCAAAATTGGTAAGAACATTCAATAAATATGTGAAATAGAGTAAAATCGGTCAAACATACCCGCCACCAATGGTAATCATCTTGGAGTCGGCGGCCATAAACAGCTCGGAACTGTGGCCCAGATCCTTGTCGCCCTCAATGCCCACCCAGGGGTATTTGGCTCGCTCCGGATACAGGGAGAACAAAAAGGTTTCGCCGGTGCCAAAGTAGGCCTGTCGCTGGCCCTTGTCATCTTTGACGTTCCGTTCGAACCAGCGCGAGGAGCAATAGGCGCCAAATACCTAAAGTTGAAGAATATATATAATTATTTGATAAATAATTTAAATCTTAATTTTATTAATTTATATATTATAATTTAAGCATGCGAAAGTTAAGTATTTAATATGTTGTAAAAAGATTTTGATCTAAACTATGATCTTTCTTTAAACATAAAATTATTACTTATCGATACTTATCGATATTTCAAGCGAAAATCGAAAATTTATTCAATCTTTTCATCCTTATAATAATTCTGATCATTACTCACCTCATTATTGCACGTCTTGATCATGAGCAGCGTGGGCTCATGCTGCTCCACCCGGACGTAGAACGTGGTCAGGGAACAGCCATGCTCCTCCGTGGTGTAGAGCAGCACCGGTTGGTACATTGTTATCCGCACGGGCAGCCAGGACCACAGCGTGAATAGCTAATGGGTAGAGCGTACAAGAAGCATTATTAACAACTATATACACCAATGTTAGAGGCATTAACTTGGCTACAACTACGAGTAACGTATTTGAAAAGGGGTAGCAATTAGCCAAATGACAGAACAAAATACATAAGAGTTGGCATTGGGTAGAGTAGAGTGAAAAGAACATGAGCTAAATGGCCAAAAAGTCAAAAGGAAAACAACTAAAAGCCAGGGTTAATAAACAAATACAACAAGGTAACACAACGCTCGATGATGACTAAAAACTACAACAAAATAACAAAGTAAACTACGGCACAGTTCGGGCAGCAGCAGCAGCAGCAGCGGCGCGGCAGCAGCAGTGCGTGTTAAACTGAGGCTCAGCTCGGCTCGGCTTGGCTTGGCTGTCAAACTGTAAGCTGTTTTTATATTATTTTTGAGGCTCTGCCAAATAAACTCTTCACAGATGGAACTATCGGGATAACTAACATTTAAGTGACGACTGCAGGACGGGAGACAAAGGACTTGCCTAAAGCGGCACACGGAATGGAAAACAGATAGTATTTTTCTTGTAATTTTGAAAGGGAAATGGAATTGCATTCACTTTTTGTATGGTGGATGGGATAGAGATAATGACATGTGGAATATATGGGGTAAAAACAGGTGGTTTGGAGGGTTGTCAATATGCAATGCAATGCTTACAAATTGTCTATCCGTCCAGGTTTTTATGAAATTCTTTGTGCCCGGCAAACCAAAATGCTATGAAAAGATATATAGATGTGATATATAGCAAACAAATTATATGCAATAATGGCGGATGAGAGTTGAGGGGGACACAAATGAGAACGAGCTCCTATATATTCTTCTGCCCTCCTATAACTTTACCTATCTTAAAGAAATAATATACACGATGGCTGGCAACTTAAAAAGAGGTAAAATCAATCACAAAGTAAAAATTGGAATCAAAGTTTGAATTTCTGGCACTTCATGCAGTAAGTACTTTATTTTTTTCGGTGTGGCTTGAATGAAATGGAAGCCAAAAGCTTTGATAAATATTGGGATATATATGTATATATTTATAATACGATTTAAAAAGTGTGTTCTCTGTTGGTGGCGGATATTGGAGTGGAGTTTTGGATTTGGACTTTGACTTTCACTTACATCTTCGTTCTTACAAGCTTGACTTTTCAGATTGTGTATGGGATAAACGCCCATCGCGATGGCTCTATGACCGGGCGATTTTTCGCCCTATATATATATATATATTTATACATATAATCATGATGCAGATGGATGGAATATTTAACAGTTATGGCACCCAATGTGAACCCGCGGAAATGCATTTATCATCGATGTATCGAAAAGATATGTATACATTGATCAAGCGTACGCAAATTTATATTTATTTTGTTCGTTTGCAATTGTTATTTGGTATCGTTTATTGTTAATATTCATTCATTCGTTGCCAAGGCAGCAAAAAAAGGTACAAGAAAAATAGAAAATAACGTTTTATATATATTGATTTCATATAAGAGGAGCAATAATTGCACTTTTGAGGATTAATTATTGTTGGTTTCTGGTTTATGTAAGTATTTCTGTATGTGAGTATATTGGCCTTTTATTACAACGGAAAAGCAAAGGAAACGAATATAAAAAGCTGTACTATATAGTGTGTGGTTATATTATATAGATGTGGTTATTGTGTTGAGGCTGTGCTTTCGCTTTGATTGACAAGTAACGAGGAACGAAGAAAGTCGAAAGCAAGAAGTTAGATCATTCGGCGAAATAAAAACGAAAAAGTCAAGTGGCAGCAGAACGAACGAACACAAAATCGAGTCGAATCTGAAGAATATTTGGGAATTAACTGGATTTTTAGAATTCTCCAGTTCCAGTTATTTCCAAAGATATATACACACACACAATTGAGTGTTTTGAATTATTATATTGTTAAGTTTCCCTCATTTTTCATGCGATACATTCATTCAAGCGCTCTTCATTTACGCCAAACAAACTCTCAATCGACTCGAGAAGAAAGTTAATAAATTTCAAATAAAAACCAGAACATAACAAGCAGAATCAATCAAACATCAGCAGCATTATCACAGTATTGCTTTTAGGATAGTAATTTTGCTGTATAATTTTTGTCTAGCCTCATACCAAATTGCGACAGCTCTCGGAGTGCAGCTTCTGGTTTTTGGTTTTGATATATTTTTTGGGTGCGTTGTTGTTTCAAAAGTTGTTGAAGAGAGTGGAACATAAACAGAAAACAAATAAAAATAAATCAGAGTTTACCATTAGACGAGAGGTGTTTCTTAGTTTGTTTGTTTGCAGTGCTGTGTAATCGAACGAACGGAATGCCTAACTCGGTTTCTGTTTGTCTTTTTTTGTATATTTCTGAGATTTCTTGTTGTCTGTTTTTTATGTATTATGTATTACGTTTATTCTGTGTGATGGTGGTGTGGTTAAGGGGAGTGTCGATTTGGGGTAAAAAGGGAGTGTGCATACCTCTCGGATGGTCAGGGTGTGCGACATCATCTGTATGTTGACCTGCGACTGACTAGTGGGCAGATTATCACTTGAACGCGATTTGATTAATTGCTTCGAACCGCTGGTGAGCACGGAACGGCTTTTTAGTAGCATTTCAGTCTTGATAAATATTCTAGAAATATACTGGGTACTGTGGGAGCCACGAAAAGAAAGGATTAGATACGTTCTTAGCTCCAGCTTAAATTAGACTCACCTCAGTCCCCTAATACTAAAGGCGGCATGGAGCAGCTTCGCCGGCGACACTGGTATCTTCTTGCAGAACTTAATCAGCGCATTGCCAATGTCGTTTTTAATATTATCCGGACTCCATTCGTTGTTCGACTGACACTCCTTGTGAAACAGATTGAGTATGACGAGGGCCACGCGATACAGGACCTTGATGCCCTCGTGGAAATAGCAGTCCATGATCCGCACCAGATGCTGGAAGGGAAGACCGGCTAGAATCCACCAGCACCAGTCCATGAAGACGCGCTCTAGCTTCAGGCCCGGGCAAATACGTTGGAAATACGAAGTTGCACTTTTCTGCAGGATTAAAAAAAAAAGAAGGAAATTTGGTCATTGATTGATTGATTAATTTATTGATGGATGGACTACTCACCGTGTGCTTTTTGGCTATCTGCATCACCGTCTTCCAGGTGACCTCGTGCTGTAGTTTGGTTTGATTGATGAATACCTTCTCCTTGCTGCCCACCAGACCGGCCAGGCACACGTACGCCTCCTCCTCTGCAACAGTTAATAATAAATAAATTATTATTTTACTAGATGTCTGATAAATATTTCAATATTCAATCAATTTGATTGCTAATCCCTTTTCTTTTTATTTATTTTCTGATCATTTGGTATAATCGAGTAGCCAACACGTCGCATACGTAATATTCGATATTTAATACGCCCCGTTGCCGAGTTGTAACTGAGATCGTATGGCAGTCAGTTTTCCAACAATTATCTATTTAATAACAGGCCTAACCTTAGCCACAATTTATGCAGTCCCCCGCATCCCAGATCCGCTTCTAATTTAACTGTGGAACTGCAACTGAAACAACTGCACTTGGCATTTGTGGTGGAAGCAGGTTGGAAGTAGTGGCATTACCGCAATGACGCAGCTCAAATTGAATCGAGAATGCGTTGAGAATCAGCCAGTCAGTCAGTCGGTCGTTGGTTTTATAGTGCACTTTGACCAGCGTCATCGCAAATGCCATTTTCTACATGCCGTTTCCCCCCGGCCTACCACGTCCCTCTTCAATTTTCCATAATTAGCTGGCACAATTTTATCAACGAGCTTGTGAGCTGTGCGTTCGTTCTGATTATTTGATTTTGAAATTAGATCAAATTATGCAATGTTGTAGGTACACTCAAAGGAAAATATATAGATCTATTTACTAGTTAAATAAAGATAACAGATCATTTAAATAATTAAATTTATAACTAACATAAGAGAGGTTTTTCAGGCCCACAATTTGCTCATCAATTTGTATCCCTGAAATTATTTAATTTCTATATTTGTACGTAAAATGATTCCCTCCATTTTTCTTTTATTTTATACAAGATTTCAACCCACAATATTTCCCTGTGTAGCCTAGCTCTAAAAATATTCTCCCAACGTTTTGTTCGAGTTATTTATTTTTTTTTTTTTTGCTGTCGTGAGAGATTCATTAGCACACCTCCAAAGTCGGACTAAAAATCAACCAAAAAGTTGTACAAATTTGTCAGGCATTTAAAAATGTAATTGTGTAAGCAACCCTTCGTGCGACTCATCGATCAATTAGCAATCAGTCAAGTCCAAGGGATTGAAGGGGGTCTCTAAATTCAATTTAGATACTGAACCGTTGTGGAACTCCCCCTCCTCCTCCTTGACTCCATTGAATCGCTGCATTACAAAGTTTAATTACTTTCAAACACTGAGGAATAAACAAAAGAGCGTTATCAGCGGATTTCGCCGGCTTATCAGTGGATTACTCCGGCCAAAGGCGGTTCCACTTAGTTCCCCCGGCCTGCTCTCGACTGTCAAGGGATCGGAGCAGAGTCTGGAGTGCATGATTGTATAGAGGGTTGAACTTTTTATCTGTTGCGGAAAGACGCCTGGCTAGCAAACATTTGATAAGTTTATTAAATATTTAAGGGCCTCCTAAAGCCAGCTAGCTTACTGCGCTATTTATAGAGCATGACGCACGTCGGCTTATATGGAAATTGCCATTGCAATTGCATTAATCTGCACACATTCAGCTCAAATTTTAATGACCCATCATCATCATCATCATCATCAGCTGCATTATCAGTCGGCGAGCAGAAGTTAAGTAAACAATTTCCAATTGAAATTAATCAAAGAACACAACTGCAGTGCCACTAATTAGGCAATTAAAGTGCTGGTACAACTACTTGGCTGAAAGCTAGCGATAAGGTTGTTCTATATTTAAATGACCGGCATAAAACTGAGCATAGGTTGATTTGCTAATGAGACCGCGCGCGCTTTATAAGTCAGTACGACGTCAGCGAGCACGTGTCGAGTTATTTATGAGATATAAACCAGCCAAAAATAGCAAAGAAGATAGTCTAAACACACCTCCAGTCGAGATAGAAGACTTTAAACGCAATTTCATCTGCTGCTCTGCTTTAATTAGCTCAACAAACTCAAACATAAACAATGCAAATATTTCTTAGCAAAAGCAAAAGTGGAAAAAGTATACAAAACACTTGATAAATTGTGATAACAGAAAAAATAACAATTTTTGGATTGCTCAATCGAAATTTGACAGCTCTCAAAATACCCTCTACTATAGCTTAAGGATATAACATATTACAAAAATAAAAGATTAAAGTTTAAACCTTATTTTCTCTCTGTGCTGAAACAGAAAGTTTGTAAGTAAAGCAAAGTTCCCTAATACCCCAAGAAAACCTTGAAACCTTTCCCCCTTTCGGTTGTTTACTTGGGTCATGAATATAAATGGAAAAGGGCACCGAGGAATGCAAATTGACTGGGGTTATATGTATATTCTGAATTTCATTCACTCCCTACCTGACTCAAGACTGACGTCAGAGCCACGGGCCATTAAAGCCAAGTACTGGCGAATATTCCATATATCTTAATCCGAATCGTGCGTGCCCGGCATAGTCAACTACTACTACTCGCATTTGATGTTGTGATGATGAGACCCGGAGATCCAGCCACTCCATATATATAAAAAAAAATCGTGCAAAACAAATATGCACAACGCCATGTACTATATATGCGACAATGTTTGGGCAGGGCTCTGAGGAACACAAACAGAACAATGTGGGCTTCCAGAGAAGAATGGAGAACGCAGAACCGCGACTGACTGAAAGAGAACCGAGAAGCGAGCTGAATAGAATTGGCAAACAGAGCCATAAACGATAGAGTACACATATGTGCGCATTTGCTTTGTCTTCTGTCTGCGTTTTATGTGAATTTTATGCTCACGTGTTGGCATTATTAGCCAAGCAGAAAGCGAAATCAAAGCAGAACCGTGAAAAAGCAGAACATTAGAGCAAAGCAAACTACAAACATTTCAAAATTCTATAACAAAATATAAACAAATGTTGAATTATAAGGACAGAAATGGAATGAAGTAAAGATTAAACTTGATATTTATTAGTTTCTAGTATAATTTTTTCTTCTGTGCATATTACAAGATTTAGAAAAAGTGTGTCAGTAGTAAACTTAGAATCCAAAACGAATTCAAACAAGGGAGAAGCCTTGAAATCTTTCCCTATTTTTCAGTTCTTCTTATTCTTCTCTGTTTTTTCTCTGTTTACTTTAAGTGGGTAAAGGCGAAATTCGCAAATTGCAAAAACAGAAGACGAATCAAAATCGAATCGAATCGCAATGACGTCAACAGCAAAGTGCCAACAGACAGACATATGCATATTGTGTGCTATCTATATCACTTTAAACATTTGTTTATGGGCCGACTCGACTCTTGAACTTGAAAATGCAACAGCACAGACGAAAATCAGCGTAAATATTTTTAATATTGAAATGCGTTGATTGAAAAGCAGCGTACTCATTTTCACATTGTTTCATTTCGAGTGCCCTTCGGTTTGACACTTAATTTTTTTGAGCTTTCCGGCTTTTCTTTCAGCTATTTAATGGCAGCACTAAAAATTGTGTTTACAACAGAAACAAAAAAGGGAAAACAAATAAATACTTTTTTTGTTTCGACTGATAAACAATTGCACTAAGCAATCCATAAATAATAAATATTCCAGATATTCTTAAAGCTTTATTTGCTATATTTATTTCAAGCCGAAACAAACTAGACTGAAAAATCAGACGAAATTCCCTTGAGAACTTGCCCGGAATTTCATTTTCCCTATCTGCCAGACACAGACACTCCCATGTGGAGGACAACCGTTTTCGCACAGTGTAAACAAACCTTCGGAATGACTGTGTGTCTGTCTGACCTCCTCATCGAAAAATACAAATCCAGCTTATCAGCTCCCACTAATAAGGCGCATTAGCGCTACAAATAAATATTCAAATTGCAAAAAAAAAATCGAGATAATTAACATGAGATAATATTCCAAGAGAACTACAATTCACCATTGAACCCCAGATCGATAGATCTATAAATTCTAGATTGGGGTTCCGCATCTGCAACTGATTAGATTACAACAAAAGATAATAATTATCAGACAATGTCGAGAGGGGTTATCTATGGGGTCGGGCACATGACCAGCTGTCATTTTAATCTGAGGTTAAGCCTGAGACGATTCCCATGATGAACTTCCGAAATGGATCTGTTGTGAAGGCTTTTTACACATAAATATTTTGATTTCGTATTCAGAAATTTTCCCTCCCTTGCTTTATTCATTGATGGAGGCAACGGAATCGAGCGGATCTTTACTGATTCCCAGTCCCCAGTCCACACCTGACTGGATGAAACCAAATTCCGAGTAAATAATCTATACTGTAGGTTTAATATTTGAGTTTCTGTTATTGTGTCGCCGCCCGCAACAACAGCAACAACAATGAAATAATGATTAGCTGATAATAAAGTAGTACGAAAAAAAGTGTTTCGAAAACAACAACAAATGCGGAACTAAAGCAGACAGTTAGACGTTGATCATTTGACTATGGTCAAGTACATTGCGGTACAGTGTCAGTCATAGCACACAAAGAGAATGTATTACCAAAAAATAAACTTTCGTTTTTAAACTAATAAAGCATAGTTGAAATATGAAACTAACAAAAATATCTATAATTTTAAAATGTATAAAAAATAAGCAGTAAATTAATTTGTATCACATTTTCCATTTCCATTTTTTCGTTTATAATATTTTTAAATATTCCCAATATTTCAACTACCTTTCAATTACGTTCTTTACTGTACCTTCGGTACAGGGGAGTAATAAGATTTACATTTGAAATTATTTTGTGGCTCATTGCATGTTGGCCCAATCAATTAGCCAGAAAATCACGATACATCAATTTGCAACCAACTGCGATACGCGCCGAGAATCACCACATATAAAGGCAATCGCATTCAGAAACGAGAGGACCGGATAGGCGAGGGTTCCCTTACAATTGTGCCACTTATTTTGTGTGCTTTGTAGAGGCGATAAAAATAAGTTGATCAAATATTGACATTCACGTGTTGGAGGTTGGAGTGGTACATATATGTGGTCTGTGCCTGAATGGCATTCCGTTAAATTCAACTTACCCGACATGAAATGCAATAGTATCGATGTAATGGGATACAATACTGGACTGTAAGTAATATCGGGGCAATCGTAGCCCAGGACATTCACGATGCGATCGGCCACGGCTCTGCCGGTGCTGGTCAGGTGATACGGCAAACAATGGGTGGCATCCACAAAGGCGGGCAGCATAATGGGCTTCTCCGACAGCTCCGTGGTGCCAAAGACCTTAAAAGGTTCAAAAAATTTATATTTATTTCGGGTAAATTATAAAAAATCTAAGAGGGTTGTCACTCACCTGGTGAACCATCTCCCAGTAGAAGCCATCGAGCATGTGCTCCTTGGTCTGGTGCTGGCCACACAGCATCGGCCATAGCTGGGATCGGATCGGGGAGTTGATCGGCCACGAGTTCTCCCTGAGTATATTCTTCACGTCACGTTTTTTGCCCTGCTGCAGCAGCTGTTGGATTTCGGTGTAGGAGCGCAGTGCCGGCTCTTTGCCTGGAAACACAGAGATAGCGGATAATCGATAAGCGAAAAGTTACGATTAAAGGTTTCCCCAGAGAAACTGAAGGTATTTAATGTTATTTTGTTTAAATTAATGCTAATGGTTTTGTTTGTTCGATTTTATAGTCATAAACTACAAATAATTACTGGTAATTAAGTTGACAGGCTGTTGTGGTGTCAATTCTGTGAAGATAATTTAATGAATTAATCAACATACTAGGATAATTACTTTAATCACTTAATTTAAAGTATTTTAAAATTAAAATTTAGAATGCTAGGTGTAATTCAAAAGCCAGCTACAATTCTACCCCCTTTAGTTGATAAAGCCACCTCGAAGTACAGACTAATTGCAGGGCTAAAAATATATATTTTCCATTCGATTAGACTGCAAGCTAATCCCACTTAGGTTAGGTCAATAACAGAAACTTGATCATCGTCCAAAGAGGCCAAAAACAAAGTCAGAAGCCACCTCCTCGAGTGCTCGAGGCTGCCGTTTTATTTTGAATTCAGGGGTACTTCAGGTCTGGCAATCATATGACACGATTGTTATTGTTACGGCTAATAACAATGGGGGTTCTTGAGGTTATCACCACCGACGCTCTAGACCCATTCAAATGGGAGTGCAAAGGAGCCTTCTCCACTATCATCAAAGTCGCTTTCGCAGGTGGGGCCAGCCCAAACAGCTCAAGATATAAAAATACTTGTGTGCACCACCGCCGTTCGGGCCGATAAGTAGTTAAATTTCATGTGTAAGGCAGCGGAATTACTCATACGACAAGTGGTCAAAATAAAATACTTGAGAAAGTGCATCTGATAAGTGAATCAGTGATAAAAAGCAAAATTATATTTACTTATGATGAAAGCCCTTGCTGATATTAAGTTTTTTGTATTCTAAAACTTTCTCGAAATGAAATGTAACCAAATATAAAACCATTGACGTCTTTGTTTAATGGATTCCACTGAAGTGAATGAAATTTAGCTAATGCTGAACTTCCTAGGAAAGAAATTACCCTAGAGTACTTTTATCGATGAAAAGCTTTATGAATTCAAAGGAAAACGTTGAATATTAATAAAGCCAGAGGTAATGCATATTATCTCTACCTATTTGTGGTTGATTGCTGATTTGGAATAAAAGTATATGAACTAATTTAGTCAGTAGGTGGATGAGGACATTGGAAGCGGAAATATCTATCAGTTAAGTGTTGATATTACATTTGTTTGTAATTACCAAGTTAAGTCTATAAAGTAAGGCCATAAATTAGTTTATTAAGTCTAGAGCAAATAAGTAAATATTACTGATAAATAAGTTACTGAAAGTATATTGTTTAAAATAGTGTAAAATCGCATTAAAAACACTGCATTGAATAAATACAATCACATGGAACCAAAAACTACGAGATATACTTAAGATCAGCATTTATCAAAGGCCGACCCCCCCGGACATTTTCTAGTTGATGTGTCAATTAGGTGGCAGCCGGAGATTCTCTATCTCTCACCCGGTCAGCTGGTCAACTGCGTATGTAGGACAACCCCATCCCCAATCCCAATTCCCCACTCCCTCTCTTTTATTCCCGTCGAGAACACCCCAATGCCACATTGAACCTCATCGGGGGCTGCCATATTGATTAGCTCTATCGGCGTGGGGGTAATTGATTGCAGTGCGGACATGTCTCATTACAGGCAGCGACAGCTGATCGATTTTTGCATGGCCCCCCCAACCCTTATCGCCGCCGATGACTGATAAGGTGGAAATCCAGCGAAATAGCGCCGGGGCAGCGCCATTATCAATATCGGCCAAGCAAATCACAGATACTAAGTTGTAGAGCCTCTGATTTATTTGCACACTCACTTTATTATGATTTAAAAAGTGTTTAGGATGTCACAAAACGAGAATCATTTAGCCAAATGGCATTAGACCAATTAACGTTGGGAAGGCAAACTATCAAATCGCCGCGAGTGTGATAAGATATGGCAGGGTATAGTGTTCATTGCAGCAAATGCAATAATAATAAAAACTGAAATAATTGAGTGAAGCTTTGTCGCTCGGGGAGGTAATTAATACCCATTTACATTCCCCATTCATTCAGCCAGCATCCCCATCGAAATCTCTTGGGTTTATTTGCATTTTTCCAACAACCAATATGGAAATACTGAGCTGCGTATATCTAACGTCATCGATATAAGTATGGCACATTCCACTTACAATCGATGCAGTAATTTTCCTATCAACGCAATCAATTGCGTTTGTTGTTACAGAAAATTCATCATAATTGGGGATAATTATGGCACAAGCCACCAAACTAAGTCCCTCAAATAAATAGCAACCAAAGAGACAAAGCAGCACTCGTTTTAATTGGTGATTTATTCGCGTATTTTAAATACGCTTAGGCACCATTAAAATTGTGCAATCCGATTAGGAGCACAAAACGTAATGCCATTAAATAAGCAATTATTTGTATAGAGAGAGATATCTGATTCGAGTTTATCTCAAAGCGGAACATTTTATCGCTCTAACACAAGATAATCAAAACACACAAACACACACGAAGATATCATTCATTGTTTTCCAAACTTCACTTGGGAATATTTAAAAAATAAAAATGCTTTTATTCCCGCAACTGATTGATTTTATAGTTTGCATAGCATAGTTTATGGCCCCTGCATTCATTTTGATTAGTGCTAAACATATTACGAAATGTATAAATTTATTTTCGTTAGGGCCTACAGTGAATTTCTGGTAAACAAGGAAGTCCAAGGCAAAGTTTTCAAAGAATTTTTTTTATGCAAGGTTGTAATTAGAGGAAAAAAACCATTTGGATGAACGGAAATTTATTCAAAATATAAATATAGGCCAGCATAAGCAAATTAGAATTATCTAGGTCTAGGCTAATTATATAGTTTTCTTGAGATAAGAAAGGTTATTGTTTTTTAAAACTTTATGGCAAAGGTTATGAGTTGTATTTAGAATCTAAAGAAGCTTTACGAATACAAAATTTATGTTAATTCTTCAGTTATATAAAAGAATTTTGGAATTCAAAAGTGCATAGGTAATTAATTAAGCCTATTTTCTTAACGAAATAAAATCCCTGTAATATAGGCACATTATAGATCACTCTTAACCTTTTTATTTGCTTAAATCACTTCAGTAACTTTTTAGCAAGTTAATAAAAAACAATTTCTGTAGCTTTTGCCCACTGGGTTTGGTTTGAACTATTACCATTAGTTTTTTTTTTATTTTTGTGTTATTTTTATCGGTTTTCGGGTTTGTGTGTATCTTTTACGAGGTGGACTTTGGCGTCGGATGGGCTGTGGTGTTATTACCTGGACTGAACTGGAAACACTGGCACTTGGTGGTGATGTCGTTCGAGCTGGCCGCAATGAAGAGCGGCAGCTCGAAGAACTTGTCACACTCGGGATCGACGTAGACACTGCTCCGTCGGCTGCTGAACTGCTCCAAGTCTTTAATGCCCAAGACTTTGCCAACCATTTTGGGGGTTCTCTCTCCTTTTTGTAATTTTCTGTGGGTGTCTTACAGGGTCTCGTTTGTTGTTTTTCCTCTGGTATTTATTTTTTTGTAGCAACTTTATTATTATTATTATTATTATCACCTTGTTTTAATTTTTGTTTGTTCACTCGCTTTTTTGGCACCGAGAACTTTTCGCGCTGTTTGTCAACAGCCGCAGCAACAACGACATCATTTATGTAGATTTCAGTCTCTCTCTTTATTTTTGTTGTTTCGTTTTTCGCCGTTCGCTTTCTTAATTTTTGTGTTTTTTATATACTGGTACACTGCTGCCTTTTATTGTTTTAATTTATTGCGATCTGCAATTCGCTGTCGCCCGAGCAGCGACGCCGACAGCACTTGAATTTAATTTGCAGCACATTTAAATTTTCTGTTCACATTTTTCGATGTATTTCAGCGATCGCCGACTCTCTGCGGGTGTTTCGAAATTAATTTCAATACTTCAGCGAGGGTTGAAAGGAATCATTAAGAGCATATCTCGGGATTTGCCCTAAGATCGTGCCCGAGAATCGGAGTGTACTGCGGATGCTTTCGGTGGACAGACACGGGGACAGGCCTACGTGCGGAGCGTTCGGATGCGTTCGGGGTTCTCAGATATTTTCCGGCGGACAGGCCGGTTTCATTCCGTGCCTTCTCAATGAAAGCTCCTAACCGTAAGTGAAAAAAAAAAACAAAAAAATAAATAAAGAGAGAGCGATCGAAACCTGGCGCGTGCAAGCTTTATTTCATAGAGCTTTTTCACGGGGTCTCTGCTCTTCTCTATTATATTTTGTGATTTATTTCTGTTTTCTTTATTTCCCTTTCTGTTTTCTTTTTATTTTTGTTTGTTTGTGCATTCTCCTATCGGCGCCACAGAGCAAACAGCTGTTTTCTGTTGGGGTAAAGGGGTAAGGAAAAGCGCCGAGCTAGCGGTTTACCCAAATGCAGTGTAAATACCTTTATAAATAGCCTTTGTGGGGAAAATTTCGTAAGCGATGGCGAAAATATGCTTGGAAAATCCCAGGCAAGAATTTCAGCTTGGTAAAAGAATTCTTTGGCAACGCTGCGTATACGTAACTTATTTAATTTATGAGCATTTTCCAGAGCAAATGTTGGAAATTTTTCTTGCCCTGCTCTACCGCAAAATAAAATTTATGGGGAAAACCTCAGTGTGTGTGGAATTTCTTTACATTTTGAACAGGTAAACGAGAGCGGAAAAATTGCGAAATTCACTTTGGGCAAGCAAATAAATACAATAAACATTTCCATCAGAATTTTGTACTAAAAGCGCTGTGAAATTTGTGTTATTAATACCTCATAGTTGTGGTATAAAATACGCAATATTTGTATTTTTTAAAATAAACACTCGACTTGTATGAATCAACAGAGCAAAGATATTCTAAGAAAAATCAACTAACAATAAGCTGTTAATTTTTGTACCCCTTTTCAAGTTCACCCCTTCAATTACGATCATTTACATAAATCCAACGAC